AGCTGTTCAAGCTTCAAAATTTTTTTGGAGATTTTTCTACTTTGATTTTTACCAAGGTGAACAAGGTCTATAGAGTAAACCAACCCCTCGAATTTGTGCAAAAAATTCCTCAAACTTTCTGCAAATTTCTCCAAAGTCCCCAAAAATTCCTCCAAACTATTCTGCAAATGCCTATTACAAATTCCCTGTAAATACCCAAAATTGTTCCTGATAAGAAATGTATTTATCTATTTTTATTACTCTCAGTGTTATAATCAATTGATTCCCTCAATTTCTTATACATTCCTCTAATTTCCAACAAAATTCTTCAAATTCCCCAATAATTCCTCCAAATTCCCCACAAAGCCCACACATTTGGCAACAGCGCAGTTACCAAGTCGAATTTTTTTTTAAGGAATGCTATATAGACCAAAAATTTCATCTAATTGTTTAATTCTGGGTTCCCTCGTAAAAATTCTGAAAATTCATAAATTTATTAGCTTACGATGATCTGTAACTTTTTAAGTTTATAGAATCGTAAAAATGGCAATTATGGGATTAGGAAAAGTTATAGATTTGCTTACATATGTGCATAGAATTGATCTTAGAACATCGTCCAGATACTGTCTTGTTTATAAGTCTTTGGAAAACGGCCGGAGCATTCGTCAAACCAAAAGGTATACAAGGTTGTATTGAAACCGATCATCTGTAGTTACACCGTGCAAAAAGCCATAAAACGATTTTGGTTGATGTTCAGTTCCACCTGTCTTGGGTATTGGGTATATACATTACCCTTGTCTTTGACCAGCTAGTTGGTGTGTGATATGGTGATAATACCAAGCTAGGCTTAATTTGAATGTCTAATTAATGAAAGTAGTAAGATATTTAGTCCTCTTATCGCATGCGCTGTGTTTATTATTTCATTGATAACCCTTCGAGGTGATTTGACTCGTCCAGGCCAGGGAAGATATTAGCGACTTGTCAATTATTTGGCTGCCTGAAAAATGATGCTCGATCCACTGCTTTTTTGGTCAGAATCTTGTGAATTCAGGCAGTGCTTCAACGACGTAGCTATAGCTATCACATGGGGGAGGTTTAGAGCAGTAATGGCCGCTCATGGTCTTTGCTTGAAAGGGTTTCAATTTTAGACCAGACGATGTATAGGCGACCGGGCGTAGCATAGTCAGAGCTGTTTCGAGTACAGGCAAAATATACTCGGCTACCGGGTACAAGTACTTAGCGTAAAATGTTCTCGAGTACAGGGGTACAATTACAAGTATTCAATACCCAAGTATTCAAAGTACCATGTACATTTATGAATACATTCTAATACCACCTTGCATTCCTACCCAATGATGTCATAGGTACAAGTTATTACGCAACGTCCTCTTTTAAACAGCCTTGATCTATCGTGGAAATCTAATGAATCTTCATAGGCTGCAAGCGCTGAGGTAGCTGCGAACTTAGCATTGCACATGGGTTATGACGTCACCTCCTCTTTCACACTTCCGTCACATTTCCCGAAATTTACCATCAAACCGCCGGTATAGATGTTCACACATCAAAAATTGAAAAACACATTTTGGTTTACTAAATGAATTCAGCAATTTTGAAGTTTGATTTGGTTATTCAGAGTCCAAAGTTTATAAGGACTCGGTTATAACTGCACAAATTATAATGTAAAATTATATATTCTGAATCAGAATTAAATTATCTTTAAGATAGAATAAGATTCAATTCTCTATATCAAATACTTCTGGAGATATTGAGGCTCAAAATCAAAACTTTGTCTCAAATTTCACAAAAGATTCAAAACTGATTTTCTTGAAAACGAAGCCTTTGAGCTCGGAATCTCAAATAACCTTTTTTATAGCCCTGCTCAAGAGCTACAATTGGGCAAAAGATTCACGCTGATAGCTTCACTAGTTTCCAAAATATGGCCCTTTGAAATATTTGAAAATCAATTTCCCATGCATACATACCCCTTTGGAAAAATTCTAATTTTTAAATTTTTGAATTTTGCAATTTTTGACTTTACCAATCGAAAGAAGAGGTGAAAATTAGTGGAAAAGCATTTATGCAACTTTGTTTTTTTTTTGGGTTTTAGGGCTTGTAAGAAAATAAAAACCGTTTTTCCACATTTTGGGCTCAGAAAATTCCAATAATCTGACATTTTCTCATAAAATCGCTCATTACTCGGTTACAACTGCACATATTATGATGTATAATTATATATTTTGAATCAGAAATAAATTATCTTTAAGATAGAATAAGATTCAATTCTCTATCTTATATACTTCTGGAGATTTTGAGACTCAAAGTCAAAACTGATTTTCTTGAAAACGAAGCCCTTGAGCTCGGAATCTCAAATAACCTTTTTCATAGCCCTTCTCAAGAGCTACAATTGGGCAAAAAATTCATGCCGATAGCTTTACTGGTTTCTAAAATATGGCCCTTTGAAATATTTGAAAATGAATTTCCCATGTAAAAAAATAAAAACCGTTTTTCCACATTTTGGACTCAGAAAATTCCAATAATCTGAGATTGTCTCACAAAATCGCTCATTTCTTGATTATTATTGCAACATATATGTAAAATTATATATTCTGAATCAGAATTAAATTATCTTTAAGATAGAATAAGATTCAATTCTCTATCTTAAATACTTCTGGCGATAGTGAGGTTCATAGTTAAAACTTTGTCTCAAATTTCACAAAAGATTCAAAGCTGATTTTCTCGAAAATGAAGTCCTTTGGTTGGAGTCTCAAATAACCCCTTTTTATTGAGATAAAATTCAGTGAAATTTTCAGTTTTTTATCTATAATAGAAAAACCTTTCAAAGTTTTCCAAAATCTGAATCATAAGATGTGCTTTATGGGTTTGCAATTGGGTTGCTTATAACCGTGTTTGGGTTGTGCTTCAAGGTAGCTTTCGATAATTATTGTAAAAGGAAATCAGAATTTCCAAATTTATGGTCACAGACACAATGTCACAGTGCACAGAAAAGTTCAAAATTTTCGTTTGCAAATCACAACGATCAATAGAATGCATGCTAAACAAGAAATGGCTGAAAATTGGTCATATCGTAACCGTAACATAATAGGTCTGTTCCAACACAGCAACAAACCGTACAATTTATCGTCATGATTCTGCGCAAACTGTGAAATTTGCGCGTAGAAATCGAAATTTGTTCACTGAGTGGTTTCGAAACCGTTCATGGGACGGTTTTTGACGTGTTGGAACAGACCTAATGTCAGATCTCAACTTGTCAGGAAATGTACTTGTGGCCAAATAAATATGTATTTAGTTAGAGTCCAATAATTTGACTCACCAACTGCAAATGTATTCGAAAACAATGAAAATACCCGGGTATAACAAATGTATTTAAGTAAAAACGCATGTATTTTGAAAATTACTCAATACAATAAAAAATACCGGGTACCTATTTTCTATATTCTTAATCAGTCCAAATACGAGTATAAGTACGCGATTCAGAAAGTATCTTGGCCTGAGTACCGAGTAACTAAAAATATACTACAAGTGAAGAGTACCCGAGTACCGCACAGCTCTGAAGCCCATCAGAATATCGTCAAAGGCGAATTTTTTTTCTCGGGTGCCTCGCCTAAAAACGTTTATTTTTCTTCAATAAAAATAATTTATTCAGTTCAATGGGAGGGGTTCGAACCCCCAAAATCCCCCCCTTATATACGTCCTTGCAGTGCTTGGTGCATATGACACACTTTCCCGAATTCGATTGTGCTTTTTCTAATAGTTCATCAATCATTGTTTTCACCTTATTTATGAGGACAATTTTCATACATTACTTTTAATTAAATTTGTCTAAACGACATACCCATTAAGGGGTGTGTAGTTTCATATGTATGTTATACATGCACAAGGCGAAAATTAAAAGAAATAATTCATTTTTCCACCATCAAGCCCTCCTCGGGGACTTTGTCGTTAAGCTTGTGCGACTATATTTCAGCCCCGGAATCGCATTGTTCCCAAATTTAAACTCCAATAAATGCTATTATCGGGACTATTTTAAATCGCCTGTTTCTGACAAACTAAGGCCGTGAAATGAAATATTCGTTTAAATGATTTCGGCTCTGTGTGGAATAATATCGGAGAATAATTGACCATCTTTGTAATTTCAGATTAGTTGCATTTAATTAGAATGTATCTATTGTCTGAATAGAAAACGACTTTGGGTTGGATTTCAAATTTTAAACATACGGATTTAGGAAACGAGTTTTTTAAAAAATAATTGCTAGTTGCTCTATTTAGTTAAAATTTACACGTCCTAGTTCTTTGCTGAAATTTTTAATGAAAAACTGATTATAAAAAAAAAGTAGAGATCCTGAAAGCATCGCGCTTTTCACCTAACCATATATAGTCTATAGGGCCGCAAGGGACTTTTTTAATTATGCATAACTACGTTGAATCTGACGCTTTGACTGTATTAGCGTGTGAATTAAGGTTCGCTAAGTTGGTTGAAAATTTATGCTTTTATATGCTTAACCCGGTGAAAATGAGATGGGGGATGAGGAATATAGAAACGTGATAGAGTCATTCGTTTGGCTTCTATCCAAAATCTCGATTCAGGAAATTTTTCAAAAAATTGCTTTATTGAACAGAGAAAACTTCTTCTAAGATATAAGTAATGATAATGAAAATATAAATCGAATTGCCCTATAGTGATTTGTATAAATCGCAAATAAATTGAACTTAACGGGACAAAAAAGGCTTGATACTTCTGTTTCAAAATTCCCGAGCATATGAATAATTGATTTACTTGAACCGAATCGAAAATTGTGCCAGATAAATTCGATTAAAATGTTCCGACGAATCCATTTTATATATATCCAGGGAGTTTTTGAAACAAATATTTGATTATGTCTGCATAATTAATTAAAAAAAAGCTTTATTAAAAAGTGCTGGTTGATTGAATTTTTTCTATATTCTCTCAATTAAACTATTATAAATTTTTTATCATAAAAATTATTGTTTTGCTTACCTACCAAATTTACTAGATGAGTGCTCTACAAATTCTTCAAAAACCCACCATAAAAGTCACTTCATCACTACATTTAAATTATTTATATTTATATTTTTATTTTTCATACAAAGTAAAAAGTCAGTTTCGAACGAAATTCGATGTTTGAAATGGGAAAACCGGCGCAGTTTTCCGTCTCGCAGTGGAAAACTGACTGCATGCTGGGTTTTCGCAAAGGGGTGAAAATTGTCTTGGGGTCTCACGCATGAGCTATATGAGGTATAGCTATTAATTTTTCTTTGAATTTTTTCCGCTTTTTTATTAATTGAGCCATTTGAATTTGGTTTTAGGGGTTTTTGAATGTTTTTATTAATTGCAGATGATAAGAATGTAAACTTGTTTTTTTTTTTTGTGTGGATGTTACAGTGGGTTGAATTGTTTTCTATTACCGGCTCTACATTGAAAGCTAGTGATAATAAAATATTGATCACCCTGTATCTTTATTCAGTTTCCAATGTAGGTAGAGTTTTTGGATAACCATATAGTTTTGTATATTTTCGTATGGTTCTCCATTCGTTAATAAGTCGATCGAATCGAGTGTACGCCACTGGTATTTTCCTGTTTCTGGCTATTTCCTCAACCTTTTCATATTAGTATGAATTCATAATCCTATGTACAAATTTCAAATTGATTCAGTGAAAAACATCAACACGAAAAATTCGTGAAAATCGATTTCCAGAAATTGAATTTTACAAAAAAAACACTCTCGCTGCATATTTCATTATTTTTCTGAAAAACTATTTCAGGAATAATGTTGAAATTTTAATAATAATAATCTTTATTTAGCATAGTGCTACATACAAAAATCCATATCTACATATAAAAGTTAAAATTTAAAATTAATAATAATATTTCGGTAAATAATAAATAGATATGTATATGAAAAAAAAAAAAAAAAAAAATGAAATATATATACAAAATACAACAACAAAAGGTTAAAAACAATTAATAATAATAGTTCGATAAAAAATAAATAAATACATATATGTGTATATAAAAAATGAAACAAGTACAATTAAAAACAAATACAAATACAAAGAGGTAACCTTAAACTATGCTAATAAATGAGATCTCACTAATCTTTTAAAAACATTTATGTTATCACAGTCTTTTATAGAATTAGGTAACATATTGAAATCGTACAAGCCCTTATACAATACAGAATTGAGCATTTGACTAGAATTACACTTATCCATCAATATAAAATCAGAACGATTTCGTGTATCATAATTATGTAGGTACCTCTTCAAAAAACTTTATTTTGTTACAAATGTATGGTGGTAACATTTTGTTTTTAATTTTAAATAAAAATACATGGACACAAAATACAATTTTTTGATTCACAGATAGCATGTTTAATACATTGAGCATTGTGGCAATTGGTGCATATCTATTACATTTTAAAATAGTTCTCATTGCACAAGTTGCAATTGTCCAACTTTGAAATTAGGCAAATTGTACAAAAGTGAAGAACATAATTGGAAATGAGGTGCTGCAATGCTGTTATACAATAACAATTTTGTACCCAGTGACAATTGGCTCCCTACCCTTGCTATAAAATCAACTTTCTTGGAAAACTTTCTTGTTATGTAATCTGCGTGCTCGTAAAAATTTAAATGAGAGTCAAATATGACTCCCAAATATTTAATTTGTTTTTCATGTGTTATTCTAACATTATTTATGATAATACTAACGTTCTCCAAGTTAAAATCTGCCAATCTGCTCTTTCTCCCAAATAAACAAAATTTTGATTTTGATGTGTTAATAGAAAGGTTGTTATTGCAAAGCCATTTGAACAAGTTATTTAAATCACTGTTGACAATCTCCTGCATACGAACTATATCCCTTCCAGCTAAATAAATCATCGTGTCATCAGTAAACAACTCAACCTTACAATCGTTCACAACATTAACTATATCATTTATGTACAGCAAGAATGATAAGGGACCCAGAACAGTTTCCTGCGGTACTCCATGCTGAACTTGTAAGGAGTTTGAGAAACTATTTCCAAATTTGACTTTCTGTTGTCTATTGGTTAGATATGACTGAAACCATTTCAACACTTTGCGACCAATACCAATGCTTTTCAACTTTTCTATCAGGATGTTTCTATTAACAGTCTCAAATGCTCTTTTGAAATCAAGAAATACTGCCAAAACAAAATTACCCCTATCTATCTCTTTCAAAAAACTATCAGAAATATTAATAACTACAGACTCACACGAATGACGTTCCCGAAAACCCGACTGATTCATAACCAAAATGTTATTCCTATCACAGTGATCTTGTATTTGACTTTTCACAGCTAGTTCGAATACTTTTTCATAAACCTCAACAGTATTTATTGGTCTAAATTCGCTATGAAGACAAGTATTTTGCACCTTAGGTACAGGAATCACAGTCGACTCTTTCCATGCATCGGGAAACTCGCCATTTGAAAGCGATACATTCACAACATCCAACAAACGGTTTCCAACCGCATCACATACGTCCCACAAAACTTTTTTGGAAATTCCTTTTTCACCACCCCCGACATTTTTCATATCTTTCAATATAGTTTTTATATCAGATATAGATATTTGTTTGAAATATGAAAACTCAGTGTATTGAACATCAGGGGTTGCGTCAAGGTAATTCACTGGGAGGGAATACGTTGGAATACTGCTTATAATTTCTTGAATACTATTTATGAAATATTTATTAAATTCGTTGGCAATTATCACTAATTCATTTTCAAACTTAATTTCATTAGGCGTTGTCGATTTTTTTCCAGGAAGTAGTGTTTTCAAATTTGTCCACATTTCACGTTGATTAGTTTTATTGCCGTCAATAATTTCTCTATAGTAATTATCTTTTTCAAATTTGATTTGACTTACTATGGAGTTTCGCACTCTTTTGTATTCCCTTCAGATTTCATCGTTGTTTTCCCTAACGGCTCTCACATACAAACTATCTCTAACATGCAGTCTTTGTCTAATATCAGCCGTTATCCAGTATTTGTGAATATATTTTTGTTTCAAAACGATTCTTTGCTTAGGGCACATTGTATTCAAAATATCTGTAATACTGTTTACGAAACTATTTGCTAACACATTTACATCTTCACTATCATTCCTCCATTCAATATCAAAAAGGCAATTTTGTAATTGGTCAGTATTGTAGCTTTTCATAGATCTACGGCAAACAACTATATTACGACGGTTTTCATTCAATTCCTGATCAGGGTGAATAGAAAGGATGCAGTGGTCACTTATTTTGGGTGTTAAATGAACATTAAATGACAGATTTTTATTGTTTGTCACAATATAATCAATCAATGTTTTACTTTTATCAGTGATACGTGTAGGGGAATCAACAATTTGGGAAAATCCATTCAAATATATATTGGATAAAATTTTTTCACCATAAAATGATGGTTTCAACAAATCGAAATTAAAGTCACCCATTATTATGTTGAACCCTCGAACGCACTCACTTGATCAATATAGCTATTAAAAAAGTCGACAAATCTTGCATTTTCAGTCTGAGGCGGATGATACAAAACCGTACAAAGATACTTAATTCTAGACAAAGAAAATTCAAGGGACAAACACCATACATAGTTCTGCACACACTGTACTTTTTCAATTTATATTTTATATCGCCTCTTACTAGAGCCATGACTCCACCAGTTCTTCTATTATTTGTGACACACTGTTGAATCTGGTAACCATCAATATGCAATTCACACAGTTCAACTTCCGAACAGACGTGAGTCTCTGACAAAAACAAAAGTTTGGGTTGCCAATCATTTATAAAAACATTTATATTGTCCTTATTATTCAAGTATCCTTGACAGTTAAAATATACAATACTGGAATTAAATGATATTTCAGCATCCAATTGCTATTTAATAAATTTGTTTTTTTGAATATTTTCAACCCTTTTGAGGGTCTCACAATTATCCCTATCCCAAGAAACATGATCAACATTAAGATGAGACATTCCATACTTTACATTCTTTTATATCATGTTTTTCACTACATTTAGGACAAGCTTTTTTCTGATTACACTCTTTACTAAAATGACCATACTGACAACAATTATAACACCTAATAATACCATACTCATTAAATACAGGACAGCGGTTCCATCCAATATTCATTCTTTCTTTATTTATAAACAAATTATATGTGTCATCATCCACCTCAAATATCAAATGAAATCTACGGCTTACAACTCTGGTTTTAGGCAATATTTTCATACTAACATTTCAACATCATTTTGCTTTATTACCTTTGATATTATCTCATCATCACCATTAACATATTCCTTTTCGTTCACTCCTACCACTTTGATTCGATACTGCAACATTTTGGGTCTATCTACACTGTAGGTTTCACCAAGCTTGTTTTGAATTTCTGATTAAATGTTTGTTATGGTTTTTTCGCTGCCGCAATTAAGAATGAGGCCGCCTTTTTTTGTAGACCGTCCTATTGTGACACCAATTCCGATTTCCGTAGGATCGACTTTGCTTTTTAAATCCTCCTTTAATTTTTTGATATCTTTTTGTTCGCCCTTTTGATTGATGACCTATATTTTATTGTTACTTTGTGCAACCTACGCATATGATTTTTCAGGCACATGATGTAAAATACTATTTCCACATTGAGTACCTTTTAAGTTGGATATTTCTTCTTTAAGATTGCGATTTTCCACTATTAGTAATTCAACTTTTTTGTTTAATTCATTAGTTTGGCTTACCAAGAGCTCCAATGTTTCATTCATTCTATCAATAATACTCTGATCAATGTATGTGTCTTCAACACGGCTTCTTTTTCTTGGCCTTTCAGGTTTGTTTTCGGACTCTGAGCATGCCTTGCACTTCCAGGTGGATTTTTTCATGTGGAAACCCCGCAAATCAATGTTTTCACATTTTCCGTGATAAAACTATTTACATACAGTGCATTCCACAATCGATTTAACATCATCAAAACCCAATTTACACTTTGCACAATTTAAATTACGATCGCTCTCATCTACGCGTCCGTCCCCCATGACGGACGGACTACTGGATGAAAAGAGGAAAAATGGGAGCTTATTCAAGTAAAATTTCAAATTGATTTAGAGAAAAATACAATACGAAAAATTTTCGAAAATCAACTTCCAGAAACAGGATTTTACAAAAAAACGCTCTCGCATATTCCATTATTTTCCTGGAAAACTGTAGCAGGAATAATTTTGAAATTTTCTGGATGAAAATAGGAAAGAATGAGAGCTCATTCAATTGAAATTTCAAATTAATTTAGTGAAAAACATCAACACGAAAAATTCGTGAAAATCGATTTCCAGAAATTGAATTTTACAAAAAAAAAACACTGTCGCATAATTCATCATTTTTCTGGAAAACTATTTCAGGAATAATGATCGGAGGTATCCAAATAGCCTCGGCTGCGATTCGCTTCGCCTCGGCTATTTGAATACACCTCGCACCTAAAAGTACGCTTTCGCAACTTGGAATTGTAAATAACTATTCTGGAAAACTGTTGCAAGAATAATTTTGAAATTTTCTGAATGAAAATAGGAAGAATGAGAGCCTATTCAAGTGAAATTTCAAATTGATTCAATAAAAAACGTCAGCACAAAAAATTCATGAAAATAAACTTTCAGAAATTATATTTTACAAAAACCACTCTCGCATATTTCATTATTTTTCTGGAAAACTGTTGCAGGAATAATTTCGAAATTTTCTGGATCAGAAAAGGAAGAATGAGAGCTCATTTGAGTGAAATTTCAAATTGATTCAGTGAAAAACATCACTGCGAAAAATTCTTGAATATCAACTTCCAGAAACTAGATTTTACAAAAAACACTCTCGCATAACTATTCATTATTTCTCTGGAAAACTGTTGCAGAAATAATTTTGAAATTTTCTGAATGAGAAGATGGAAAAGTGCTGATAATTCCAGACTGAATATTATTGCATGGATGTTAACTAATAACGACCTCAAAACCTCCAAGCGAATGTAAATAGGGAAGCTTTTGTTCTTGATTACCGCAGTTCAAAGGCTTAAGCGGACGCGTACTTAATCTTCGGGCCTGAATATATCCAGGTAAAGGTTAGACGCCTTAATTATCGTCTGTTTGTCTTGTCTGCACCGAGCTTTATCTGCATTTAATGTTTGTGTACATTTCCTCTCTCGCCTTTTATCAAAAAATAATACTCGCTGGCCCAGGAAATTAAAAATTCTTCCCAATTCTGAAAAGACAGTTAGAAATCCCCCTCCGACAAAACATTTTCGCTATATTGCCTCTAGAGAGAAGAGGAATCTGGAAATTTAATTTGGCAAGACTTAAAAACCTTTTTTTTTAATCCTATTTAAAATGAGAGAAGTGTCTCAATGATGGAAAAGTTTTTCTTACCTTTTCGATCCCGTCTGCAGGTATTAAATATTATGTGCTTTTTCGCTTCGTTTTCCATTTGGGACGCGTGTGTGAGGCCTGGGAAAATATTGATTTATGGAAGAAAAAATGGTTTGTTTGTTCACAATTTGTATATTTTGTTTTTTGACAAACACGGTTTTGCTTGTTTAGCAATTTTTAAAAAAAAAATTGTTTAGGCATTTTATTAAAATTATGTTTAATGATGATAATAATAGGATTACGCATTAAATCAAACTGACATCTGGCCTCCAGGAGACTCTGTTTCTCTGGATAACATTTTCTGCTTGATCCTGATGTTTTAGGATAGAAGAGCAGAAAGGCCTTAGTACCAGACAGGACTTAAAGTCACGGCACTTGCACCAAGGCGTAAGACAGGAAACTTACAACTAGACTAAAGCACTTGTAAGTTGAAGAAAAGACCCCAGCCAGCAGTTGAAAATCTGTTACCAGACAAAGCACCTGCTACAGGTTTCAGGAAGGCCGAATGTAGTAGAAAAGAGTCAAAATCTAAAGACTCATATTGCAAATAAACTTTTTTTTCAACTCTGAATCACCCTGTATTACATCTAAAACTCAAAGAAGTCGTTTGCTAGACCCGTTAAATATTAATATCCATAAAATCTCTAGTCTATATACTCCCTTCGATAAACACTTACTCTTCCTTTTATCTCTCGGTCCGAATCCATTAAAACCGTTATCAGACACCATATTTCCTTGAAAATGCGTTTCCAGGTAAAAGACCCCCCAGGACTATGAACCGAGCATACATAGAAACCGTTTTAAGCTCCTCTTTTCCCAAAAATTAGCTTAGTCAGGAGGGCGGCCTTTTTAGATGAGATTAAACTGCTAATGCCCTTTATTGTCTGATAAATGAACTCAACCTTTTAGTAAATTAAGCGAGATTTTTTTAAATTTAAATATTTCTATTATTGATACTTTTTCTATTAACAAAATAAAATAAATAATAATAATAATGTTCACTTTTCACAGTCAATAGTACGGTTTTGATTTACTTAGGATAAATTTCGATTAGTCAGCCGGTCTGTGTTTAACCAAGTTAAACGATTGATTTGTTGACAGCAATCTATCCGTCCTTTCGGTGAGAGGACTCGAAATGCTTTGTAAAGACATACGAAGACAATTGTCAGGAAAAATTTGATCGTCTAAAAACACAAAAACTAATTTCAACTACTAAATACCTTATGCCAACACTTACTTGTAAGCCATTTTTCCAATTTTCTATCGCCATCACACGGATCGCTACTCAATGTTTTATACAGCAAACCATCTTCAACATAAGAATCCATTGAACGACTAATTCGATTATTTGAACAATCAGGCTTATTGATTTTTATTGATTTTGTTATAAGCAAATCAAGATTGGTAGAGGGATCAAGAGGATCTGTGCCTACAATAAAATTATCCTTATAGGAATTTTTTTGAGTGTAGCAATTATTGCTACCTTCTTCTATTGAATCAGCCGAATTGGTAGGTTCAAACTCTTCAACTCCTTCACGAATATTAATGGCACAATCTTCAAAAATTAGTTCAAATGTAATTATTTTTTTTTTATAATAATTCTTACCAGTCTTATACTTATATCCACCTGATGCACATTTCTGAAACAAGTCCTTACTAATTTGCCTGTTTAAATAAGCTTCAGGCACTGCTAAAACTTCGCTAGAAGTTTTCGGAAGCTTTTTCTCCTTTTTGGAGTGACTAGATTTGAAAAATGTCAGTTTTTTTTTGGGGCTCGTTGTCAATGAAGCACCCTCAGGGCCGTGCCGCTCTCTTCTGAGCTCTTCATGGATTCTGTCTGGAAAATTTTATTTGTAATAATCCTGTAAAACAATAAATAGGCCTTTACCTATCAATGGATCAATTAGATTAGAACTTGAGATGCTAGACATTGATGGACTAATAATATCCGGATTTGAAGTTATGAATTTGCCTTTTTGTGAAAATCTGGATTAATAAAGAATTATATATATTATAATATAAAGGGATTGATTCTTACTCAAATATGCGTCTATTTTCACCTAAATCTTCAGCCAATAAAAGATTCCTTAGATGTTTCAATGTTTCCTTTAAATCTACAGTTAATTTGTGATGCAAAAACCACCTAAATTGACTAATATTTTTATTTAGAAGGAAAACGGCGTAGCTGAAATGGGCACGGTCTTTGCCTTTTGTATAAAGAGGAAACCTGGAAAGACAATGGAAAAATTATAATACCCAATTGTACGGTAAGTAACTTACTCTCTTTCTTTATCCGGTATTTCCGGATAGACCTGATTGTATATCACAGACCGAGATCCAAAATGTTTCATTGGATGACGTAGAGGAACTTGAAGGAAAATCGAGCACATAATGAGGATGTGGCAAATGTAGCCTAGGACTACTGAAACTCCTGGATCTTGATAATCTGTATAAAAAAATAAGTAAATTGTACACGGTGGACATTTTCGATTGGTGCAAACTGAATTTTATACTTGTATTTCCATGAATATCCATGGATTTCCACATATCTCCATCCCGTGGGACAGAAGATTTCACAGATAGAAAATCTTTATTTGTAGAGAACTTTCTTATAACTCCATGGAGCTTTAGGGATATCTTAAGATCATTTGAATTATGAATCTCCATATATTTTCTCCAGACCTCTATATACATTAATAAATGCAGTATATTTTCAAAGATTTTTTTAAAATAAGGTTAAATTTTTAATTTATTTAAAGGAGGGTTAAAGCGTTGGTTAAAGCAACAGTTTGGGAATTTTTGGTTAATTGAAAATATTCAAGTTTAAGGCAAAATTGTTCATGGTTTTTGCAAGGGGTAAACCTTATTTCTTAAGCATAATTCCTCAAAATTCCTGGAAATTCCTCCAAATTCCCCACAAATTCCTCTAGATACCCCATCACAAATTCTTCCAAATACTCCACCACAAATTTCTCCAAACACCCTACAAATTCTTCTAAATTCCCTGCAGTTTCCTCCAAATTCCCACCTTTTTAGGAAATTAAAACAAATATAATACAGTATAATACCAAGAATAATACACGTCATGTAGGTATAGACCGTTTCACCAGAGTTCATACTTGACCTTGAAACTTGAAAAAAAAGGTTTGTCGTAGATTAATTCAAATGACACATTCAATTTTTTTGACAAATTAAAATTAATGACTTTTGGTTTAAGAACCGACAAACGTTTTTGACGTCATTGATTTGTTTCAGTCAATTTCTATTTGTTAGAAAAGGAAGGCAAATTATGTCAAAAGTATGAACCCTGGTGAAACAAAGCTTAGCTACTTTTTAAACAACTTAGGTAGGTATATATATTATTGAGGGTAGGTATATGGTTTCTTTTTATTTTAAATGGACCTTTTTTCTAAAAGTTGAACAAGGTTTTCCTGAAAAACTAGTGAAGGGAAATTTTTGTAACTTTTTGCATGTAAAAAGGAAAGGGAGAAGCTCATTTTCCCAAAATTTCAAATTTTTCCAGTGAAAAATAACAACATGAGGAATCTTGAAAATCATCTACAAAAACTGAATGAGTTGAAAATACTGTCTTACACAATTCAAAGTTTTCCTGGAAAACTAGTAAAGGGAAAATTTTAGGAGGCTCATTTTCACAAAAATTCAAATTTTCTAGTGGAAAATAACAGCATGAACAATCTTGGAAATCAACCTCCAATAACTGAATTAATTGAAAATGCAGTCTCGCACATTTCAAAGTTTTTCTGTAAAACTAGAGAAGAGAAAATTTTGAAACTTTTTGCATGTGAAGAAGATCAGAGGCTCATTTTCACAAAAATTCAAATTTTCTAGTGGAAATAACAGCATGAACAATCTTGGAAATCAACCTCCAATAACTGAATTAATTGAAAATGCAGTCTCGCACATTTCAAAGTTTTTCTGTAAAACTAGAGAAGAGAAAATTTTGAAACTTTTTGCATGTGAAGAAGAAGGTTAGAGGCTCATTTTCCCAAAATTTCAAATTTTTCCAGTACAAAATAACAACATGAGGAATCTTGAAAATCAGCCTATAATAACTGAATTAATTGAAAATACAGTCTCACACATTTCAAAGTTTTCCTGGAAAAATAGTGAAGGGAAAATTTTGGAACTTTTTGCATGTAAAGAGGAAGGAGAGAAGCTCAATTCCCCAAAATTTCAAATTTTTCCAGTGGAAAATAACAATATAAAGAATCTTGGAAATCAAAAGTTGAAATAATTGTTAATACCATTAACAATTCAAAGTTTTCTTAGAAAACTAATAAAGAAAAAACTTTGAAACTTTTTGCATGTAAAGAATAAAGAAGAAGGTGAAAAGCTCATTTTCAAAAAAATTTAAAATTTTTCCAGTGGAAAACAGCAACATAAAGAATCTTGGAAATCAACCTACAAAAACTGAATTAGTTGAAAATACAGCCTCACATATTTTTAAGTTTTTCTGGAAAACTACTGGAGGGAAATTTTTGAAACTCTTTGCATGTAAAGAGGAAGGGGAGAAGTTCATTTTCCCAAAATTTCAAATTTTTCCAGTGGAAACTAACAACATGAAGAATCTTGGAAATACACCTACAAAAACTGAATTAGTTGAAAATACAGCCACACACATTTTAAAGTTTTTCTGGAAAACTAATGGAGGGAAAATTTTCAAACTCTTTGTATGTAAAGAGGAAAGGGAGAAGTTCATTTTCCCAAAATTTCAAATTTTTCCAGTGAAAAATAACAACATGAAAAATCTTGGAAATCAACTTACAAAAACTGAAATAATTGTTAATACTTTACAGTCTCACACAATTCAAAGTTTCCTGAAAAACTAATTGAGGGAAAATTTTGAAACTTTTTGCATGTGAAGAGGAAGGTTAGAAGCTCATTTTCCCAAAATTTCAAATTTTTCCAGTAGAAAATAACAACATGAAGAATCTTGGAAATCAACGTACAAAAACTGATTTAGTTGAAAATACAGCCTCACACATTTCAAAGTTTTCCTGGAAAACTAATGGAGGGAAAATTTTGAAACTCTTTGTATGTGAAGAGGGAGGGGAGAAGTTCATTTTCGCAAAATTTCAAATTTTTCCAGTGGAAAACTTATTGCATGTGAAGAGGAAGGTCAAAGGCTCATTTTCACAAAAATTCAAATTTTTCCAGCCTAAGTACAAAAACTGTATTTACACTTACTCATTATTGTTTTTAATTTTTTGAATTTGGACCTGTAAATCATGAACTGAAATTTTGGGAGAATTTCTTTAATGAAAATGAATGTCCAACGTTCAACACAAAACCAGATTTTTTTTGAAATTTCCATTTACCTCAGTGACGTCATGACTCTACAATTTCCTTTAAATTCGTCATAAATTCCTCACAAATTCCTCCAAACTCTCCATAAAGGACCCTGCCCAAAGTATACGGAAATTGTGTTTATGTCAGAATTGGCTGAATTTTTTTATATAATGTAGATCACGCCTCTCTGATTAAAAGTTACCATTGCACCAATCCTGAAAAATTACTCCTTTTTGAGAAAATTAATTTCATAAGTAGCAAGTAAAACGCTTCGACATTGTGATGGACGTTCAATGTAGCACAAATAGGTAAGCTTGTGGTGAAGTAGTGTGCTACATGGCGTCATTTTTTAGGATCGGTGCAAGGGTAACTTTTAATCAGAGAGGCATGATCTACATTACATACGAAATTCAGACAATTCTGACATAAATACAATTTCCGTATACTTTGGGCAGGGTCCTTTCTCCGAATTCCCTATAAATTCCCCAAATTCTCATAAATTCCTATAAGTTCCTTCAAATTCCCCATATTTTTGGCAAAGAATTCCAAGGTGGTTTGTCACTTGAGTTTTTGACTACTTTAGACTCACTCTTTCGACTGGAAAAGTTAAAATTTGGAAAATATATATAGCAAATAAAAAAATTTAATTGGTAATTTTAAAATGATGTTAGATTGGTTTTTGGGTAATTTACACAATAACCCTGTAGCTACATACTATAGAATTGAATTTCTAGATAGAGCTTCTGAAGAAACTCAAAGAGTCTCAAAATGAAAATGTTTTTGTTATAAACTATGTCCTTTAAAATTTAAAGGATGTTATTATTTAAAAATGTTGATTAAACACCCTGTATATTATAGAGTTGCATTTTTTCATAGAAACTTTAATAAACTCTATTCGGATTCTTATTTTCCCTTTTAGACAACAAAAATTTTTACCTAAAAGTAGTTCAGAATCGGGCAAATGTATCCCCAACATGGTATACTTATTTTCGTTGGGCATTTTATCAATGGGATAAATAAACAGCAACTCTTTCAACAGCTCCAATTGCCTGCAATGCAATTGCTCTTGGACCATCATAAGCGATTCCCTTTGCCTGGGCAAGCTGTGCCTAAACTCGTCCCAATGAACTGATTCTTTGCTCAACTCGTGATGAAGAGACATTAATTTATTTTCTAAAAATAAAACAAAGATTCTATAATAAAAAAACAACTTGATTGAATAATTTTTTACTTTTTTCAATATTGTCTTCTTTTAGTTTAGTTTCTCTCTGCTTCAACCTTCTTAAATTAACACTCTTAACATCTCTCTCCTGATTTAAAATCCTCAATCTGAACCTACAAACTTCCATTTGCTTGCTTATTTTTGTCATGGCTTCTTTTTCTGCTTTGGTGGGTTTTTCATGCAACATCTTATTCAATGAGTTCATTGTTAGTAATTGTGGGGCAAATCTAATATTGTTGCTATAAGTTGAAGCATGAGGATCGTGCGTGTCTCGTTTCAATTCCCTTTCGCTAGCTTTTTTTATTTTTTCTTTAATTGTTTCAACTTGTAGTTGTTTGTTTTTTATTTGTCTTTGCAGCTCTTGCAAACGGCGTAGTTTTTCTAGAGTGTAACTGCTTGTTATTTCACTTTTGGGGGCTTTGAAAGCTATTTGTCTATAAAGTACTTGTTCATTGTGTGAGGTTTGGATTAAATTAAGGTTTTTTTGGAATGGTAGGGGTTGGTTGTTGGATAAATAATGTTGACTAGTGAAATAAACTCCTTGCATGAAAAATATCACAGTGTTGGCTTTGAAGTATTTCGGTTGTAAGTCTGCAATTTTATTGCCCAAGTAAACAAGGCCTGAAAAGTTGACGCCCCACGTTAGCAGGATTTCGTCCCCTTTTTTACAATGTTTCCATACTCTTATAACTACAGATGAGACATTAGTGGCTATTGAGTTGCTGAAAAGCAATTCGTTCCATTTGGGGTTTTTGCCACCCACTTTTTCGCTAGTATAAAAGGGGGAGGACATCGGAGTGCTGTGAAGGGTAAAGTAGAAGACGGCCTTTTTGTCTTCTCCTACGTTGTAAGCGTAAATTTGGTAGACATGACGTAGTCGCAACTAAAAAAGAAGTTGTATTAATTGGAGTTGAATTAGGGGGGCGTTATTACCTGTTGTGTAATAAGAGAAGCCCATTTTCTGCACCTTTGTCTGCCCAAAGCGAATTCTGACGCTGTGAAATTTATTGTGTCCGCAATTTCCAGAGGACAATCCATTGTAGGAAATTTGTGTTGTACATAACCTTGTAGAAATTTATCTGGGTCGCTTAATTTAATTAATTGAGAGTTCCCTGGGAGACACTTTTTTATTGGAATTGAATTTACAAATGTAGTTTTTATTATGGAAATTTCTTGTTTTTCCCCGGTATATGACAATTAGTGACAATAGAGTGACAATTGACTTGTCGTTTGTCAATCGAATCAAGGATTGAATTGGAGTCAATTGGAGTACTCTAATAGCGATTTTCATTTGTAGATTCAGTGCAAAAAAAAAAAATGAATCCTTTTCCTTATGTTTTACATGCTGTTAGAAAAAGATCAGGATATACTCAGTCCGCACTCGGTTCATATTTTTGATAGTGCAGTTCAATAATTCCTGTTCGGACGGATTGATTCAGGTTTATAACCTCAAAATAAAAAGTAAACAGTAAACAATAATCTCCAGAAAAAACTTTAAAAATGGATATTAAAGTACAATTTGGGTAAGTTGAAATCAAACAAAACAATCTATTATTGCTTGTCTGTGAATCTTTTAGAGGTGGAGCAGAATTACTGTTTGATAATAAGAAACATTACGATATTAGTCTTCCCAGCAAAGAAAAACCATGTGAGTCGGGTCAGTCAAGTTAGCCCCCTCCACTGAATTTTTCTAAATAAAACATATCTGTAATCTGTGAAACTTGTCATAATTTGCTCCACCAATTATAATTTTTGCTGCACTATAGTGGAGAGACTAAAATGTGGCCTATTAAGGGCGGGTATTATAAAACTACTTTGAGAGTTAACTTAAAGTTAACTTCTAGAATTACATGTAATTCAAAAAGTTAACTTCAAGTTAACTGTCAAAGCAGTTTTATAATACCCGCCCTAAGTGGAAGAGGGGCCAAATTAACGCTAGCCCCCCTCCCCCTGTGAAAATTTTGAAGTTTTTTTGCTCAATTTTATTCTCCAAATTTTGCTCCATGATCAGCGAGTTTTGCTCAGGCTTGTTCCAAGAAAATTTTCAATTGTGCATTTAACTAATGGAAAATTGTGCATATTCGTTCGAGATTGTGCACATGCTTAAAAATGACGTAAGTGACGTCATTAATAGCCCCATCTCTTGGGTTTTACAGAAACAGTGATGATAATGGAAGTAACCGCCATTATGTGGCTCATTTGGCTCTCTTTTCCTGACCCCAGCAGTTCGGAATATTTTGAAAATCTGTTTAAAAATGAGGTCATTACTTTCATTCAAGAAAAATTGAGGAGAATTTAACCATACGTAACCTAGAATTTTTTTTTTTATGTTAATAGACCTATCTATTTTTACCTGTATGCGCGCGCAACACGAGGCAATGCATTTTTATTGGCCAACTAGTACAGGTGTGAAGTAATCCTTTTGCACGCTGGGCATCTCTTTGTCCTTGTTTATTGCCCGTGGTCTGACAAGGATAAAATTATGCTTGATATTCAACTTGACGTAGCTTGACAAGTGATCGATTTTCAATTGTTTGTGTTTTTGATTGACAAATAGGTTGCATGTCACACGATTTTCCTCCTTCCTTTTTTATCCCGTGCAAATAATAAGAACGGATTGATATACGTAAGTCTAACATAATTTGGTACGTTTTGCCTCCTCTTGCGCAATTAGGCAATTCAAACCACGTGACTATCAAGATGGCGTGGCGGCCACACATGGGCCAAAAAACACTAAAAAATATCTAGATTCTGCCCGATTTATTAGTTTAGGTACCTAATCAACAAATATTTTATTAAATAATCTAAATCAAAGTTGCAAGCAAAACTGTAAGCATAATAATTTGAAATACGCATAAAAACACATTCAAAACAAACTTGCTTGGCCGCCACGCCATATTGAATTTTCCTATTTGACAGAGGAATTGAATTGCCTAATAAGTGTTTTGCGTCTTTTTCTATCTAATAAAGTCTTCGTCTGGTAAAATAGATAGGTCTATTAATCAATTACTGATATTTTCGAATGATCTATTTTTTATTTTCCAAAAATGTGAGAGTGTTCATGATACCATAACCTCCTGCACAATCCACAACACACGAATAAACATAAAAAACAGTTTACTTTCTTAAACTATTGCCCGATTTAATAAGCGTCCCGAATAAATTCCAACGATCAACTTTTTATTATTCAATTTATTTTTATTCAAATTAAAAACCTATTTCGTTCAATATAAATAACATTCAAATCTATAGGTTTTCGCATATCTCAGAGCTTACATAACCTAATAGTCACAAGCATTTAGCATTGAACTCTGCTGCTCTGATTGCCTGGTAATGGGTAACTTGATGACGCATCTGGAGTGCGTTCGATATCACCCTAGGCGTCACACCGAGTGCACACCACCCATATTCATGGCTGGTGTGCACTTGGTGTCACTCCGTGGGCGATTTCGAACGCACCCTTGGGGTACCTTGGAGATTTGCACTATGTTGAAGCACCCCAGATGACGTCATAAAGTTATCAGGCAACCTACCTTTCTCAAAAACTAAAACTGAAAACGAGATTTTTGAGAACTTTGTGACTTTGTCCCGCTTTTGGACTTTCAAGATCTGGTCACTTTATTCTACACTGTCCTTATGAAGATAGGCTATTCTGTAGTAGTAGTATGAGTAGGCGTAGGTAGACGAGGTTGCCAAAAGTTTGCTTAAGGAAAATAATTTTGTTTTGGCTGGATTGTGAAAGAAAATTGTGCCTATTTTATGAAGATTGTGCATATGGTGCATATTGAGATCAAATTATGTGCATAATATGCACAATTGTGCACCTTGGAACATCCCTGGTTTTGCTCCATTCTGTATTTAGAATGAACTACAGAGCTCCCACATATCTCTCCTAGCCCCCCCCCCCTCCAATAAGTTTTTTTATGGGTATTTTATTCTCCAAGTTTTGCTCCATGATCAGTGAGTTTACTGTGTACTGAGATTACTTCAGTCTTTGTCTGGTAGCACATGAAAGAAAAGAATAAAAAAAAAGGCCAGTGTATTTGTAATTTGTATCTCTTTCTACTACTATGTAATAAACAATGATACAGATATTTTGTTTTGCTCTGGGTTTTTTGAATAGAATTCGATTATAGCAGAGCGACAAAATAAATACAGGATGTCCCTGTTCAACTCAGTGATGCCAACTCGTGGGAAATTTCCCTTTTCACTGGAATTTTTGGACGAAAATATGGGGAAAAAGAAAAAATATTGAAAATTGTACATGTTTTCATGGGAAATTTTGCTAACTCAAGGGAATTAAATTAAAAAATATACGTTTTTATGAGAAATTTTTAGTATTTTCGGGAATAAAACTAAAAAAATAAACATTTTTATGAAAATTGTCAGCCTCTTGTAGAGTTATCATGCTAGTTTCCAAAAATCATCTTATCCTTGCCTTGTGAACATATTCAAGCGTCAACGCCAGTCAACGGTCGAACTTCCAACTGTCAATATTAATTATTTAAAATTGGTACTTAAACATGACTAAAGGCCGAAACCCACTAGCAACACACCACGCTACCCTACGCCATGTGACACAAGTTCACGTGGGACAGTTTGTGTGCAAATGGACGGATGGCGTGGCGTGCCATGGCGTTGTATCGCGTATGGTAAGTATGTACGCAGCACATATAAATAAATGGAAGAATATACGCATACATTTTCGTCACATGGCGTGGCGTGGCGAAGCATGACGTGGCGTGTTGCTAGTGGGTTTCGGTCTTAATGCTTCATTCTCACTTGCGCGAAATTCGTTCTTTTTTGACATTGCTTCGACAATTTGACATTTGATACACGCATAAAACGTCAAATTGTCGAAGCAATGTCAAAAAAAGAGCGAATTTCGCGCAAGTAAGAATGGGGCATAAGGGTGGGTATTATAAAACTATTTTGACCGTTAACTTCTGGAATGACGTTACTTCCCATAGTAATTCCACAAGTTGACATTTTGCTATCTGTCAAAATAGCTTTATAATACCCGTCCTTAGACCTAGTACTCATAACCGCGAATTGCTGATTTTTTTCTATTGGTCGAATATATTTAAACCTGCCAAATTTAAATTGACCAATAGATAAAAATTCGCAATTTGCAGTTATGAGTACTAGGTTTTACGCGGACTCCGTGCAATGTCGAATTCTATAGCGACATGTCGCGTTCGATATTTCGTATTCCGTGTACAGTTTTCTACACGATTTTCCCTTATATTAAATGTAGAAATCGACACTAGAATTCGACATGTAGAAACTGTAGAAAGCGACAGAGCACAGAATCCGCGATGGCTCCACATGATGCGTTGCTAGTTTAAAAAATGAACTTTGATTTGAAAGTGGGCTGTATTTTGACATGAATTCGTGAAAAAATATGGAATTTTGAGTAGAACAGCGCTCGGTTGTACTTACCGACATGGATGCTTGTTGCTAACTGAACTCTTCCAGCGTTGCCAGACCCTTGAAAATTAAAGTACTGATCAAGAGACAAAAAATGTACTGGAAAACGGAAAAATGTACTAACTTCAGAAACTGAACTGGAGTTCATAAAACTGATAAAGTAGATGGTTTCGGGATACTTATTTTGTTTTTCCTACTCCTGTACTGCTTTAAATTTAGAACATCAAATAAAAGATCAGATCATTCATTTTAAATTATTTTTAATATTTCACGGTTTGGTTAGTGGGTTAATTAAACATTCGGATAGGCAATGGGCTTCACGAAAAATATTATTTTTTATCTAATAGGTACCTCTTTACCTTACTAAAGTCACTAAAGATCTGATTTTTCAGATTGGGGCAGGTTACTTATTCAACGAAATTTAATGCTAATATCTTCTAGTTTCTCAAGAATGTTACAGGGTGTCCAAGATTCGATGGTTTTTGGGGGGTTTCAGGTATTGCTAAAGGAGTTGGAAAAGATCTGATCCCCACTTGCGAGCCTCAATTTTCAAGAGAAATCGACTGGTGAAAACCGCATCTCGATATGTCGAGTCATATACCTGTACATGTTAGGCAATTTAAGTTAGTTCAGTAATATTGCTATGTCATCACCCTTCTTGAAATTTTTTTTGATCTGAGCAACATCTTATCTAAGCAAAACCCTCCTCTCGGGTGGATCTTGTAATCCAAAGCTTAAACTACTTTTTTACTGCGGTGCATGACAAATTTCCGAACTAAGCGAGATTAAACTCCTAATCGAGATTAAGTCCATACGGGCGTAAAATAGGCGCGGGCTAAAGGCATATTTGGGGTGCATTCAATATTCTGATGGGATGCACCTGGAGTGATCCGTGCACCCCGTCCGTCCATTCGAAAATGCAGGTATTCGTTAATTTTTCCCGTCGTTAAAAAATATAGTCCAGGAGGCAGTGAAATTTTTTAGCACTTATTTTCCCAGTTGATGTATATTAAATAGTTTGTTCTCTTGGTGATACAAAACAAGAATATTTGAGTTTCGCAAAAATTTTCGGATGGGTTCATAAGATCACTAATGGCTATTTGCACGGCTATCACTTAAGGGATATTTAATCTAAGTAAAGCTTTGAATGTGACTTTTGTTTCTATAAGAGTCATATTCAAAACTCCACTGAGATTAAATTTGCCTTAAGTTGTAGCGGTGCAAATAGCTGTGAAAAATACAAGTATACTTATTTTCCCAGTCATAAATATTTCACATTTACTACAATAGAACATAAAGTATATGAACATAGCAATTTGGCTTATCTCGGATGGTGGAAAGTTAGTCTGGCTGAAGATTTTCGGATCTTCAATTTTTCACTTGCCAGACGTATTATCCATACTCACAGATTAGCCGGACTATTTTTTTACGTAACTTCAGTATACTTCTCATTAGTAGAGCTATTTTTATCACTGGAAAAAAGAAGGGCCGTGCATTCGTAAGCTCTAACGCATTTTGTGCGTCAACTCATCGGAAAACCTCCCCCTAAATATATAAGAATTACTAACCCTACAATTCTATCCATGTTTCGTGACTGGGAAAATAAGTACCGAAAATCGTCACTGCCTCCTAGACTAATATCCCCGGTATTGCACAGCGGCGGCAAAATGTACTGAATTTTATAGTGTGGTACTGACGTACTGAAGAGAGTCAAATTGTACTGATTTCAGTACATCTGTACTGATGCTGGCAACACTGAATTCTTCTCGTCTCGTAGACTCCTTCTTCAAGGTGAAGGCAATGTTGCCACGTCTTCCAAATGTCTATGTTTAGCGCGGAAGACTTGAATGTTTTTGAATTAATTTATTTACATTTTGTTTTAACTAAATTATGATTTATTTACAAATAGAACGACATAACACCACATCCAAGCTATAAGCTGGCTTTGTTCCAGCACAGCAGGTAACCATTCTATGTATCGTCACGATTCTGCGCTAAGCCTAAAATTTGTGCGTAGAATCCAAAATTCGTATACAGATTGGTTTCCAAACTATTCATGGGACGGTTTTTGACGTGTTGGAACAGACCTGGTAACAAGTTGCTTTTTTTTTCAAATTTTATTTTTAATTTTTTTGGGGTGGTTCTAGGTAGAAAATGGGGGTGCATTATACGAATTTTTAAATATCATTCCTACATCAATAAAATTTGAACAGCCCTATCATTAGTCTTTCAGATGATATGAAGGGGGGTTGTTTAAATTTCAACACCCTGTATTTTGGTAACTACGCACTTCCGACCATCAGTGCCTATCTCACTAGTTCTCTATGGTTCCTCTATATACCCTAGCATTTTTGACCAGTTGAACGGGGACACCCTGTATTCTCGGTGTCACTCAAAAATAAAAAAAATCACTAGGGTGGGGGGGCTAAAAGAGATTCTCGGGAGCTCTGTAGCCATCATTCCAGGTAATAGAGCAAAATTTGCCAATCAAGGAGCAAAATGGAGCAAAACTTATAGAATAAAATGAGCATAGAAAAACGAAATTTTCACTGGGTGGGGCTAGCGTTAATTTGCCCCCCGCCTTCCCACCTCCACACTTAATAGGCCACATAGTCTCTCCACTGTAGTGGAGCAAAAATTATAATTAGTGGAGCAAAATAATGGGATACGTTTCATTTAGAAAAATTCAGTGAGAGAGGGGGGGCTAACTTAATTGACCCATGTAAGTCCTTTTGGGGCAACAAATAATTCTGAAATATTTTAGGGATTATAGGAGATTTATTGTTTTGGCTAAAGGAGCATTTATTGAAAGAAAGGCCTGATCTATTTTTACAAGATAATTCTGTGTAAGTGCTATTGGCTAATGTATTGTCTGACCAGTGAATTTGAAGCTACGGAAGGAATTTGTAAGAAAATGTGCGATGTTGCCACATTTAATTATAATAATTTGTCGTGTGTACAAGTGTGTATAGTCTGTCGTTTCTCAAATGAGACAAGGCAAAAATTGGGGTCTCCTCAAATTATCGTATTGCCCGTTAAAATTATTATACTATTATTAGGAAAAATATATTGAGCGTGCCCCTATACATCGGATGCGAATCCAAGTGCGAACAATGCATCTTATTGGTTGTTTTATATAGTCAACGTTGACTCCAGGAATATCTTCTTGTTTAGAATTTTTAACGGCGTATTTGGCGGCATATTTCTTTGAGGCGTCTTTGGCGGCATATTTCTTTGTAGCGGCCGCCGCTTGCGAATCAGTTTCGTCTGGAAAGACAGTGCAGTAGATAGTTTTTATAAATTTGATTCCTATTTGAGTTGTATCGTGCCTCATGTTTTATTTCATATAAAACTGTTTTGATACTGTCTCATTTTGACTATTTTTTTTTTTTTTTTTTTACTGTCTCATTTGACTATCGATAGACTATACATCCTCCCAGATTGATTGAGGATGGGCCTTTACAATATAATTTACTTTCAAAAAATTCCGCACGCCTTTGGATATTCCATAAATAAAATTAGCCATCTTTTTTTACAACTGCATTCTCATAGCTTTAGATTCGTTGGCCAGACAATAGATGTCTTTATTCTGTATTGCTAATGTTTTAGGAGGCCCGGCATTCTAGTACTCATAAACGATACTGATTGGGAACTTATGGTGAGTTTTTTGCATCAATATCTTTTCAATTATTGCCAATTAATTGATTTTTCAGGATACTGTAAACTATGAAATTCAATTAAATGATTGTATAATGTTTATATCTACGCTGCATGGAGGATAGGATAATTAAAGAAGTGATACTTAAAAGTTGATTGAACATATTTTTTTTACCATTGAAATATAATACATATATTAAATCAAAAATATTATAGAAGAAGTTTGATTTTATTAGACTAAACACATGAATATATTAATATTGGTTTACCTACTTATCTTTTCAAATTAACAATAAAATATTTGAATTTTGTATATAAGGTTAACAACGCAACGTTTTACATGCGGAGATTACCATAGAAAGAGATGACAATGTTATAGGCAAAGGTTTCAATCAAATAAGGACCGAACACTGGTTTACAGACGTTGCTCTTCCTGTTCACTCGTTCTTTCCCGAACACTGCTTTTCTCCTGTCAAAGTCGCCTTTTTATATCATTGGTTCCCTCATTGTCTTGAATTTCTTTGTTTTTTCTGACCTCGATTTCACGTGGCTGAATCATCCGATCAATTAGTGTATTTGGTCCCCTTTTAATTAATTATCAAGGGCGTCGTAAGTGGTTTGTTAAGTGGGTATTATCATATAGTTTCGTGCGTGATTTATTGATCCTTGAAAAAAAAGTCCATGAACTTTTGCTTTATTCACATTTCAATATATTGGTCAATTATTTTGTTTAATTCTTATTGGCTGGTCATTTTTGAGAGGAAAGGTATCGGCTTTCAATAATTTTTGGATGTCGATGTTCAGATAAATTTTAATTGAAGTTTCTGCTTGTGCTGTCTGAGTGATGATCTCTCCTGGGATGGTTGTTTGGTAAGTACTTGTTATTCTTGATTAAAATTTCTGTTGTCACTACAATAGGTCTACGAAGGGAAACGCACCTTGGCAGAACTTTCCCTCTCCCATACTGTGCACACCTCATGGATATAGGCACCAAAAGACGTGAATGTTGATAAATTCAGTTTTTTCCAGACAGTTCCAAAACTGCTAAAGGAACTGCAGCCGGAATAGTTGGTGTTGTGATTTCTTCGAAGGACCACCCTGGAAACTGCCAGGGACAGGCAATAAACAAATATCTTCACCTTTTACAGATCCTGTTTATTTGTATCGGCTGGATGAAACTGCTGGTATTGTCATAAAAAAACTGAATTAATTCTGGTATTATTTTTTACCTGAAGGGTTCTGGCTGAAGCGTCTGGCAGAGGCATCTGTCAGAGGCATCTGGCATAAGTTACAATTATTAACAATACTAAAAACTAAACAGTTGGGCCACCAAGCATATTTGAAGCGGAACTTCATGCGATCGGAAGATACGTGCAGTTCAACCTGAACAAAAGTTATCGGAAATGAGAGATTGTAATAATGTCTGATAGCCAAGCAGCTATATGAAAGCATTGAGATGCCCAGTCATCAATTCTAAGTCAGTATGGGAATCTCTACAGAACTGCTGGTCAACCTTAAAAAGAAAAGTCTCAAGACTCTCGTCTCGGGACATTGCAGACTTAAGAAACAACTACAGAAGTTGGGGTTAGAAGAAAGTGGCACCTACAGATCTTGTGAAGACTAAGAAGAGACACCTTATCATCTTTTACTGAATTGCGATGCCGTTAGTCGCTCAAGGATGAAGAACTTGGGAAGTGCCTTTATACAGTTGGAAAACATTCCCGCCTTGGAACCGCTAGATATTCTAATATTCCTAAAGGACCTAGGACTGGAAGGGCTGCTTTGAGCAGAAAACCTGAACTTAGCAAGCAGCAGAAGAAGGGGTACAATAAATCAACCTTGGTCGCGATGTAACTCACACATACAACAGGGGAAAATGGGGAAATCGTTTTCGTTTTAACCTTAAACTTTTTCCAGACATTTCATGCACGTGCTTTGCACGGCCCTGAAATCAAGGTTTTACTCTTCTTTAGTTCATTTTTTGGCATTATAGAAGCGCCAGGAATAGAAATTTAATGTTTTTTTTAGTTCAAATTTCAACTAGAAAATTAGGAAATTAGATTTTCGCAAATTTCTAATTACATTTTAGCTCTGCGAACCACTATACCTCAGTTTAAACTCTTAAATGTTCTAAAATCAAGGTTTTACTCTTCTCTAGAAGCGCCAGGAATAGAATTTTTAGTACCTTTTCAGTTCAAATTGAAGCTCTAATTAGGTACATAGTATTACTTCCAAAGTAGGTACCTATCTCTTTTTCAAAAACTATATCAATATGTATACAAATACTCGAGTTTTTAAAATGAGATTTCAATCATGAAGTGTCTAATACGTACTTGCTGGAATTTGAAATTTAAATAAATTCACCTCATAAAACCAATAGTATATCAATTAATTAATTAAAATAATTGTAAACTATAGATGCATTTCAATTAAAAAATCTAGGTCAACAAATCAACAATATTTTTGTTGACCCTGTCCAAAAAATTTCATTGTTTTATTATTAGCAAAAAATATTTTAATCAATACAATAATTCTTGGAACACTTCAAATTTGTTTTATCAAATAAATACTCTCTTGATACAATCAACAAAAGGATTAAAGAAAACTATTCAATCATACTCATGGATTCCGTTTAAAATCAGCTTTACACAGCTGCAAAATGCAATTCAATTTAGTTAATCAGAAACAATTGTTTGAATCGGTTGTCAGAAGTCGATAGTATAATGTTTCATTTAAAGTTGTGCTTCGGCTTATTGTTGCTTTATACCATAAACGGGTCGAAATTGCAGTACAATGATTTAAAAGATTATTTCAAACAAAGAAGGCAACTAATTAAAAAAACCGAAAGCGATAGCATTGGGGCAAAACTGAATTTAACCAGTGAAGAGGAAATTGTTAATAATTTATTGATGTTGTGGAAGAATCAGGCGTTCGAGGAAGGTATGAGGCAGCCCGAGAAGTTTTTAGCAGGGCGACATTTCTTCGATGTTAAAGCTGAAATAGAGAAAACTCAAATATTTAAATTTATACAAAAGTTGCCTAAAGGGGCCTCGTTGCATTCGCACGACACTGCTCTAGTTTGTAGCGAGTATATTTTTGAAAATATCACTTTTCGGTAAGCCTGATTTCCATTCTATAGTATATTTGAAAATGCGAGGCAGTTGTAAAATCAATCATTCAATGTTACAATTGACTCGCCATAGGCGCTCCATATATTTCCCAAAGAATTTTAAAATGTATATAGTAGCAGTGGCGGCTCGTCAGAGGAGGCAGGGAAGGCTAAGCCTCCCCAAAAAAATTGAAAATTCAATCTCAGTTTCTTATTCCTGATTTCTAATTAAAATAATAGTTCACAAATTTCACTTTCCAAATTTCGATATTTTAATGTAGGTAATTTTGAGAAATCTGACAACATTATTTCAATCAATCTCGCGCCTCCACGACAAAAATCTGTGAATCTAAAATATACTCAGTGATACGAGCCCGAAGGGCTAGAGTTATTTTAATCACGGGGCTCAGTCTATAATTCTATTGGTCAGCGGATAATTTGGAGCCAATCAAAAATCGGAAATATCCAAAATGTGATTTTTAGTCGATATTTCGAGTTCCAGTTACCTCCGATGTACCGGAAAAAAGTTAGCCTCCCATCTTTCTTGATTTTGAATTTTTTTTTCCAAATTTCAAAAAAAAATACCATTAGATAGAGGAGCAAAAAAAAAAACGTTGAAAAGCTTATGGGGCCCTGCTTGCTATGACCCATTTTAGGGCCGGGAAAAAATTAAAAAAGGATATTTCGATTTTGGCCAGATAAAAGTTTCGGAGATCTGGCACGACTTTACTTTTTCGTTTATAGCTCCGCTATTCCTCAACCAATTGCCCGTGGGTATTAACACCTGATAATTCCCGTAGTACATAGATAATTTTATATCCTACTGAATTTACTGTATTCTGTCTATTTTTATAAAGGAATAAAACCATAAATCAGAGTTTCTATTTTTTCTCAAAGTTTTATCTATTCAAGGTAAAAGCGGGAGTTATGGAAATCCTTGATTCCCTTGGGAGTTAAGACTCTGTTTATGATTATCGTAACCAAGGTATAAAATGGTTATAATAGTTCAGTAGGATATAAATATTAAAATATCATGCAAGTATACGTAGCAATGTATACCAAAAAACTTGGAAAGAATACACATCATTAATCGTTGCCAGGTAGCTGGTGAATTCACTAATCCAAAAGGCATTCATAATGTCCCCAAGGACTGTCTTTTCTTGATCTGTTGAATATTCTCGGTTCTTGATTGGCTTTAAAATTAAATTTTCTTAATTTCCCGGCTTTTGATTCCGTTTAAAATTTAATTTTTAAATATTCCTGGCGCTTGATTGGCTGGATTTGACGTTTTAAAATTCAATATTTGAATATTTTCGATACTTGATTGAAATTTTTGTATTTGGTCAACAAAAAGCCAGGTTATCTGATAGCTTTTATGGATGTCATGTGGGGTACCTAAACATAATGCAAATCTTCATTAGCACCCCAAACGATGTCATCTGTTTTCCATTACCAGAAAATCTATAGACTAAGCAAGTAGGACAAAGAAAACGACATAAGAAACTTAGCGGTTAAGAAAAAGACAGAGATCAAGTGGGATAAATTAAATGGTGACGCAAACTTTGATTATTCCCGGCGCTTAAGTGGCCAAGAGCTTAAAATAATAGACAGCAATATAGGAAATTCAATGAATAAGAAAGAGACGGAAATAAAGTTGGAAAAGAAAAAATGTGACACGAATTTTAATTATTCCCGGCGTTTAAGTTGGTTCGTATGTGATTTTTGTGTCTGGCCAATAAAAAGTCTAGAAAAGGCAAGTAAGACAAGGGAAAAGACATAGGAAATTCACCGGTTAAGAAAAAGACAGAGATAAAGTAGAACATATCAAATAGTGACGCAAACTTTAATTATTTCCGGCGTTTGAATGCAGAGTGGCCAAGAGCTTGGAATAATAAAGGAACAAAAATATAAGAAATTCAATAAATAGGAAAGAGACGGAAATAAATTGGGATATGAAAAAGTGTGACACGAATTTTGATTATTCCCGGCGCTTGATTGAGCTTATGTATTTTTTGTATTTGGCCAATAAAAAGTCTAGACTAGAAGAGTAGGACAAAGAAAACGACATAAGAAATTCAATGGTTATGAAAAAGACAGAGATAAAGTGGAATAAGTCAAATAGTTGTCTAAATTTTCATTATTCCCGACGCTTGAGTGGCCAAGAACTTGAAATAATAGAGAGAGCATTATAAAAAATTTAATAACTAAAAAAGAGACGGAAATATAAAGAGACTAAAAATGTCACACGAATTTTGATTATTCCCAGCGCTTGAGTGGTCAAGAACTTTTGGAATAATATTAATATTAAAGAGACAGCAATATAGCAAATTCAATAGATAAGAGAGAGATGAAAATAAAGTGGGAACAGAAAAAATATGACATGAAATTTAGTTATTCCTGGCGTTTAAATGAATTTGTATGTAATTTTTTTATGTGGCCAATTGAAAGCCTAGACTAGGAAAGTAGGACAAAGAAAGCGATATAAAAAACTTAATGATCAAGATAAAGTAGGATATATTCGATAGTGGGGCAAACTTTGATTATTCTTGGCATTTGAGTCGCCAAAAGCTTGGAATAATAGAGAGACAGCAATATAAGAAATTCAATAATTAAAAGAGACGGAAATAAAGTAGGTAAGACAAAAAAGTCACACGAATTTTAATTATCACCGGCGGTTGAGTAAGCGGGGCTGTCTTAGGAGCCCAGGCGGTCGCCTTCATTATTATTTCCCAGCGTTGCCACTGTTTATCTTTTTTCTTGAAATGTCAAAATTTCGTGTTATAGGCTTGCGAGCCTCTTTTTTTGATTTTCTTTTAATTGTCAAAAACGTCAAGATAAAAAAAAGTTTATATTATTTTACAGCGTTGTCACTGTTTGTTTTTTTTTCTTAGAATTTTAAAATTTCGCGTTGTAGGCTTGTGAGGCTTGATGCTTGTCAAAAACATCGAAATAAATGTAGTCCATATTATTTTACAGTGTTGCCACTGTTTTTTTTTCTTGGAATTTTAAAATTTCGTGTTATAGGCTTGTGAGGCTTGATACTTGTCAGAATCGTCAAAATAAATGAAGTCCATATTATTTTACAGCGTTGCCACTATTTGTTTCTTTTTCTTGGAATTTTAAAATTTCGTTTTATAGGCTCGTAACGCTTTTGATTTAATTAATCATAATTATCAATTTGTGCCTTCCTTGAATTTTTCATTTTTTATTTTTCGTCAAAATTAACTCTGAAAATAATATATACTTACATGAAGAAAAGGAACATTTTCTCGAGTATTCATGGTTTTTATTGAATTTGAGATAAATTATTGAAGGCATGGGCACCCCAAAACAAATTTTGCCTGCTGCGCAGTGGTTACCTTACCGTAATTTATTATTTTTTAGCCTCCTCACTCGAAATAGTCACGAGCCACCACTGTATAGTAGCCCAAGAAATTCATGGGTTTTTCAAAAAATTTTACGAGGGCAGGCTAATTTTTTCAGGGCTGATTGGAGACTGTGTCCTGAGTATTGAGCCAAAAAATCACACTCGAAAGCCTTGTGCGTTCGGCCGTATTGGCCTTTTTCTTATTTATTTTTTTTCGACAAAATGACCTTTACAAAACTTGTAGATAATAACATTCTGATCAACTTTGCCTCAGGCCTTTTTTTGCTAGCTATTTTAGTTTAGGCGTTGCGGCCATTTAAGTGCTCCAGAATTCGCAAAAAAATTAAATAGCAAACCTGCAGATTATTGTAACTTTAATAAAATTACTGGTAATGTACTCCATTACGTTTTGGGTTTCAGTCCAAGAAATAATACATTACATCACTAATCCGGTGAAATGATTTTCCCGGAGTGAAAGCGTGAAATCGAAATGATGTTTTTTTTGACAATACTGGGACCTGTTACCTGTTTGAAAAGTGACAAAATGTTTTTTTTTTTCTACAATCGGCCTAGAAAGTAGACGTTTCCTGATGACCTCCACTTTGCCGCTTTAGAGCGTCAAACTACGTCAAAATCCTTCACTTTGTCACTCTAGAAAGGCAAAGTAGTAAAAGCGCTTGCTTTTACTACTGGTTTCTTTGAACCTGAACTATTTTTTATCAAATGCGATTGTAAAAAAAAATCAAGTGTGCATTTGCCAATATCAACAATATCTTTTGATCGGCAAAGTACCACTTTGCGCTCTTAATACACAAATAGCTATTGTGCAACCGTCCGCGAAATTCAATTTCGCGAAACGCCACATTTTACCTACAATATGTGTCAAATCCTTAGAAACGCTATGCATGCCACAATGTCCACCAGGACCAGGTCAAATAAAATTTTTCAAATGCCTAAAAGGCCGTAAAAGCGAAAGAAATAAAGTTACAATAAAATATCATCAAGCAAAGTATTAAAGAATTTTCTGCAGGTTTGCTATTCAATTTTTATGCGAATTCTGAAGCACTAAAATGGCCACAGCGCCTAAAGTAAAATAGCTAGCAAAAAAAGTGATGAGGCAAAGTTGATCAGAATGTAATTATCTACAAGTTTTTTAAGGGTTATTTCGTCGAAAAAAAATAAATAAGAAAAAGGCCAATAGGGCCGAACGCACAAGGCTTTCGAGTGTGATTTTTTGGCTCAATACTCAGAACACACTCCCCAATCAGCCTGCCCTCGCAAAATTTTTTGCGGCACAGGTATAAATTTCTTGGGCTATAGGTACAGTAAATGTATGTTCTACCATCTTATCACCATTTTAGTGATAATCTCTATGCGAAAAATGGCTCAGAGATCGCCTTACAATTCAGCAAAACCCCTCCGGATAGTTCTTGGAAGCCCATATCCTGGTTCAGACAGAACGACAATAGTTTTGATCAACGCTTAAAACAGCAAATAACTCTGTTCAGAACGGATCCTGAAGTTTTCTATATTCAAACCAATATTTGGAGTGTGTTTGAGAGTCTTTTCACAACTTTAACTCCGCTTTTGACTTTCGAGCCAGTGTTTAGGGATTATTATTATCAGGTAAATGTAATACATATTACAGGACAAGGTGTGTTTTTTATAGGAGACTTAAGTCCGGTTGACACGTGCGGTTCAAGTGCTTAGTCCAAGGATACTTGGATGAGAACTTGACTTACCAGGTTGATACGGTCTAAGTAGTGTACTTAAATCAAATTACGCTTGGACATTGCGCGCACCCCACTTGGATCGTATTAACTGTTAAGCCAGGTTGACACGGTCCAAATGCACTTGGACCATGTTAGTTGGCAGCTAGGGCTAGGACTCTGTAACAGATAGGGATGGTTATATTTCCTTCGCTATCGCACTTGCTATTTACTCCCTAATCAGTATATAGAGGTAACGCGAATAAAAATAGAGTTATCGACCGCTATTTGTTACAGAGTCTCAGTCCAGCCTACTAACTTGGATGTTAAAACCTATCCAGTGGACTTGGATAAACAGTTGATACGATCCATGTAAGGCGCGCGCAGCGTCCAAGGGTACTTAGACCATGTCCGTGTCGACCTGGCTTTATCCAAGTACATTTAGATGGGTTCTAACATCCAAATAAGTAGACTGGCTGCCAACTTACTAGGTCCTAGCTCATAAGCGCAACTAGGCTCCAAATTTGAGGGATGCTGCAGCACCATTTATTTTTTTTTATTTTTTATGAGGTTTCATGGAAAGGAAATGAGAAGCGTAAAAAAAAGTTAGTTTTACGAGGGTTTGTACTTACGTCATCATTTGCCTTATTTTTTGAAAAATAGGTTTTTTTATGTCTGAGATTTCAAACAAACATATAGTTCGTTGCACGGTACGAAGGTTTTTACTTACGTCATCGATGACGTCATAACTTAGAGAAAAAATTAAGTCATAGATAAATTAATTCATAGAGCTCATTCGGGATAATTGTTTTGTTATACATTTTTTAACTTAGGATAGAACTTATTCAGTTATCCGAAAATAATATAAATAAATTTCTCCTGGAGTGATTTTCTACTAGAAAATTTTGAAACTTTCCTATAATGAACTCCTCATTTTCTTCTTTCTCCTGGAAAAATTTCATAAGTTTTGCTTTATTAGTTTTCCAGAAATAAATTGAAATGTGAGAGGATGCGTTTTTCTTAATTTTACTTGAGCAGGGCCGGCTCCAGGACCCGTGCAGCCTGTGCCCCTGCACGGGGCGGCAAAATCGAAGGGCGGCAAAAATCTCGGGGAGAATTGTTGCATACTCTGTAAAAAAATTAAATAAAACATTTTCGGGTTTTTTAAACTCTGGTTAATTCCAAACAATCTGAGCACAGTTTTAAGGACTGAATAAGCACCTACGCAACATGTTCTGTGCAGTTCCATGATGGTTCGCGAACAGTTCGAAAAACGAGAACCCGAAAACACCTGCTAGCCTAGTTTCACGCGTTTGAAAATAATCAAAATATAATATATATCATAAAGTATAAATACTCTTCACTTTTACTCTAAGTACATTTTGAGTTACTCGGTATTCAGGCCACGATACTTTGAATAATGTAATTGTACAGAATTGTACCTACTTGTACTTGAACTGTTTAGGAATATAAAAATACCCGGTACATTTTATTGTAATGAGTAAATTTCAAAATACCCGAGAACATCCTTTTATACTCGAATATATATACCCGGGTATTTTCATTGTTTTCGAATACATTTGCAGTTACTGAGTAAAATTATTGGATTCTAAGTATATATTTATTTAGCCACAAGTACATTTCCAGACAAGTTGAGTCCTGTTTCCACAGAAATCACTTGCCAGTCAAGAAAACTGGTTGTTGGCAATTTGCACCAATCAAAAACGCTCTAACTGGTTTGTGATTTCTGTGAAAACTGTGACTTCAATTTTCTGGCATTTCTTGTGTAGTGTACAGATGCGTAGCATTCGTTCCGTTGTTCGTTGTGATTCGCAAACAAAAATCTTGAACTTTTTTGTGCACTATGACGATGTGTCTGAGCACGTAGATTTGAAAATTCTGAGCCCTTATAAATTCTGGACACTGGCTAACGAAACCAAACTGTAAAATTGCTGATAACTGATTTATAGTAAACCAAAATGTGTTTTTTAATTTTTGATGTGTGAACATTTATGCTGGCGGTTTGAGGGTAAATTCTGGGAAATGGGACGGAACTGTGAAAGAAGATGTGACGTAATAACCCATGCGCAGAGATTAGTGCGTAGCTACATCAGCGCTTGCGGTCTAAGGTGGCATTAGACATTCATGTCAATAATCAAGGGTGGTTCAAAAGAGGAGGCGCGTAACAACTTTAAGACGTCATTGATATGCAGGTGGCATTTTGTGGAATGTTTTCATTAATGTACTCGGTACTTTGAGTACTTGGATATTGAATACTTGTAATTGTACTCTGTACTCGAGTACATATTGAGCATAGTACTTGTACCAGGTACCCGAGTATATTTTGCCTGTACTCGAAACAGCTCTGATATCATATAAGGACACTGAACAAAATTAAAATCAAAAGTAAGTTTAGCAAATAAGTAGTACCGAGAGTAGTACTGGAACTACAAAAGTAGGAAAGTAATTGGTACCTAAGAGGGGCGGCAAAAATACCTTTTGCACGGGGCGCCGAAATGTCTGGAACCGGCCCTGTACTTGAGACAGTCATTTTTTCAGAATTTTTCCTGGAACGATTTTCCATTGGAAAATTTTTAAATTTTCTTATAATGAGCTCCTCACTTTCCTTTTTTTCTGGAAATTTTCATTGAAAAATTTAAAAATTTTGCTATAATTAATAAACTCTTTATTTTCCTCTTTTTTCTGGAAAATTTTCACAATTTTCCTTTTGCCAGTTTCCCAGAAAAAAGTTAAAATGTAAGAGGGTGTATTTGGCCTAAAAAAGTCAATTTCCCAGAATTTTTCCTGGAGTGATTTTGCACTAGAAAATTTTGAAATTTTCCTATAATGAGCTCCTCATTTTCTTCTTATTCCTAGAAAATTTTTAAAATTTTCCCTTCGCAAGTTTTCCAGAAAAAAATTAAAATGTAAGAGGGTGAATTTTCCTTAATTTTGCTTAAATAAGTCAATTATCCAGAATTTTTTATGGAGTGATTTTTCATTGGAATTAAAATTTTCCTATAATGAGCTCCTCACTTTCCTTTTTCTTTTGGAAAAATGTCACAATTTTTGCTTTGCCAGTTTTCCAGAAAAAAATTTAAATGCGAAAGGATGAATTTTACTTGAAAAAGTCAATTTTCCAGAACTTTCGTCTTGACGTTCTTTGGAGCGATTTTTCACTAGAAAATTTTGAAATTTTCCTATAATGAACTCCTCATTTTCTTCTTTCTCCTGGAAAAATTTCATGTTTTGCTTTATTAGTTTTCTAGAAATAAATTGAAATGTGAAGGATGCGTTTTTCTTAATTTTACTTGAGAAAGTCATTTTTTCAGAATTTTTCCACAAATACTTTTTTCTAAATTATGACGTCATCGATGACGTAAGTAAGTACAAAAAGTGCAAAAAAATAAAATAATTTGGTTGCACTAATTTTGTATATTAGTGTTAGGTAGTGCTACTGTAGGTAGTACAATGGTGGGATGCCGAAAGGGAGTGCTAATTTTTGCTTAAGGGGTGCTTAGCACCCCCCTAGTTGCGCCTATGTCGAAGTTGTCATCCAAGCACACTTGGACCGTGTTAAACCGACTTAAGTGAGTTGGCAGCTAGCTTACTTACTTGTATGTTGAAGAACCTATCCAATATTGGACTTTAATAAACAGTTTGATACAATCCAAGATCTTCCAAGTGAGTTGCCCTTTGGTACTTTGATTCAAGTACCCTTGGACTGTGTCAACCCTTTTCCAAACTCCTCAATTTTCCAACCAATACCCCAATTCTTAGGCCCTCAAAGAACTCTACGAAGACAACATCAAATACCTCGAACTCAGAGGCATTCTACCAACCCTCTATGACCTAGAAGGCCGCACATATGGCTACGAATACCTCATCAAAATCTACTACGAAACAACTCAACAGTTCATCAAAGATTATCCAGATTTCTGGGGCGTCAAATTCATTTTCGCCCCGCACCGAGTCACCAACAACACCGAAATCGAAGACCACATGAATTTCATCGTGGCAATGAACCGAAAATATCCGAATTTCATCGCCGGATTTGATTTGGTTGGACAAGAAGACACCGGAACTCCATTGAAATCGTACATTCCCGCTTTGCTGGAAATGAAACGAGCTACGAACCTATTTTTCCATGCTGGTGAAACTTTGTGGAACGGAGCCAGGATCGATGAAAATTTAATTGATGCTGTTTTATTGAACACTAGCCGGATTGGACATGGATATGCTGTTCTGAAGCATCCAGAAGTTATGAAGATTGTCAAAGAACGGGGAATTGCTTTGGAGATTTGTCCAATTTCAAACCAGGTCAGGTATTATAAATTACTGAGACATATGCTCAAATATGTATTGTAGGTTTTAGGTTTGGTTCGTGATCTCAGAAATCATCCAGCCAATTACCTGATTGCTCACAATTATCCAGTAGTGATAGCTCCCGATGATCCAAGCTTTTGGGGTGCCAAGGCTCTGAGCTACGATTGGTACATGGCCTTCATGGGCATGTCGAGTAAACACTCAGATTTGAGGCTTTTGAAGCAATTAGCAATCAATTCAATAGTCTACAGCAGCATGGAGGAAGATTTGAAAAATGAATCTTTAAAAAAGTGGACTCAAGATTGGGAACAGTTTATTAAAAATGTAATTTTTAATTAAAAAATAAAGTATTACATGTTTTAAATTAAACAATAATTACATATTATTAATTAATATGGTGCAAGCAAAATCCGCCTATATAGGAGTTTTACATTTTCATTTAGTAACTTGTCATTGTTTTAATCAGAATATAATGGGGCCTCTGGTAATTAAATTAGGGTTCGGGGATTTAGCGAAAATTAGCGAATGGTTATCGACATGCATTAGCCGCTAATGGTTTTTGTGGTTAATTAATTTCTGCATGAAATAAGCCATGCATTATCATCAATCATAAACTATTTTTTAATAAAATGACTAGGTATAAATTTTATAGAAAAAGTTGATTGATTATAGGGTCCTGAACAGTGATTGATTTTTGTCGCTAAAAGCTTTTGAATGTATACAAAATATAGTTTAAAGTAAATTCAAAAAAAAAAAAAAGTTGGGCTCAACCGGGATTTGAACCCGGGACCTCTCGCACCCAAAGCGAGAATCATACCCCTAGACCATTGAGCCTCATGTCTATTTAAAGATTGTTTTCGTATTTAATCTGCTACGCCAATTCAATGAAATTCAAGAATAAAGCAATCCTAGTTTTTAAAATGAAAAACCGAGCGCGGGCAAGACACAAAAACTTATTTTATATTTCGAAATTAGCTTTCCCGCCATTATGAATTTTAGCTTCATCTAAAATGGAACTAGCCTATAAAATTGTACCAGATTTGGTACCATTCGCTTTGAAAAAAGGTCATTGGAAAAAGTACGCTGGTACGACGTTGGCCTACAATTTTCAATATTTTTATTTTTTCTAAATTATCAAAGAGTCTTAACCTACTCCCTACTTATATAGTCTTATGTCGATGTTCTAATTAATTTGTATTTATATATATGTATCTAATTAATATGATATAACAATAATTTCTAATTCGTAAATAGATGGCGCCACCATGTGACGCTCGTTTTGTGGTTCTTGGTTGACGAATAAGTTTGTGTTTAGTTTAGGTTTTCACTTTTCATGAAATCAAAACAAAACGTGCTTTTATCCTACTCTACTGGAATCAAAAATAATCCTCATTTTCAGGAAACGCATGCGCATTATAAGCTGGTACATTTTTACTGAATCTGGTACAATTTGTCTTTAATTTTGGTACAAACATTTTTTGCTATCTGGCAACACTGAAGAGCCGCTTTCCAGTGCCTAAATTGTTAGAGTATCATGCTCCTGAAGTGTGACGCTCTTGAACTGTTCGACATAAGCAGCACTGGAACGCTCTCGTCTTAACCCCCACCATTTCGGATTTCTGGAGCATGAAACACAGACAAAAGGGTTGGTGCACGAGGGGGCAGGGGATAACAGAAATGAGTAGCTCAAGTGTACGACACTCTAAGCACTGGAACGCGCAAAGCAATTGTGGAGCACTCCTGAGCTGCTCAGGAGTAACTCAAATGGGTCACTGGAAAGCACCTAAGGTAGGTTGCATAACTTCATTACGTTATGGGGTGCCTCCAGAGCTGGGACTCTGTAAACGTATAGAGATCGTTATCCCTATCGCTATGGCACTTGCTGTCTTCTTCTCTCTTTTCAAAATCAATAGAGAGGGGACGTCAATAGAGATAGAGAAATTATCTCTATCCGTTACAGAGTCCCACCCCAGGTGCCTCAACATAATGCAAATCTCCAAAAGCACTCCAGATGCGTCATCAAGTTACCCATCACCAGCAACCTATAACTTTATGGCGATTTTCATTTGTCTTCAGTGCGCACTGAGTGTATCCGCATCTTTTTCTAAAAGCAGTAACATTTAAGGATAGGGATACATTTTTTTGCACTGGTTCGACAAATAGAAATCGCTATTAGAAACGTTGACTCCGCCGAACCTTTGTTAGTGCGGTGCAGTTATGTTTTGGAACGCAATCATCTGAACTACACCGGAAAATGGAATGCTGCACGGTACGAATGGTGTAAAAAGTGCGACATTAATGACGGGTCAGGGTAAAAAGTGTCAGTAGTTCGGACTTATCGTACGCACCTGTGGAATAGGGACAGAAATGACATTGAACCAGGGTCCTTATTCTTGAAACCAAGGAATAGCGTTCCCAGGAGAACGAGTATTCCATCTTTATTACTTATATTATCATTTGTATATCATTAAAAAAGACAGAACACATCATCGCTCGTAGACAGGCAATGAGAAAGTCAAGAGCATAGGTTGCGACTAGATGATTAGAATTCCCCACGTTTAAAAAAGTATCACATGACGTCATAACTTCTCGGCGCGAGAAAATGGTTTGAAAATGTGGATTGGATTGTATTATTTCGAAAGAGTTTGAACCAGTTTTGGAATGACGTCATAAGTTCATCGCGAGAATATGTTTCAAATTTGTTTTGAATCAGTTCCAAAAAAATAAACGCGAGAAAACAGCTCAGAGGCTTTGAACCTAAAGTTCCGGGTCGTTTGGGTATATTTTAACGCTCACCTGACTCTAGAACAGGCAGCAAAAATTGCTCCGACTCTATCCAAACTTTTTTTACTCCGGACACAATACTCGAAGCAACGTATTGTAAAAAAGCGTTGTCTGTGCTCCAATTGCTTCAATTTCTGTTTCATCTGCACTAGCTCTATTTTGTTTGCACTACTCTGATTGTTACTGTTCCAACTACTCTGATTAGGCTACTAAACAATGAAATTATACACTATAACAGTAGTTGTATTCCTTTCACACCTAGGAGGAACTCCGGAACAGCTCCAGGGCGTCACGCGCTTATTCTTTTCGAAAAGTGTTTGTTGCACCACGTATCTGTTCTCTGCAAATCGAGGGCTACTAAACACCGGAGCGAGTAGCTTGAGTGTTTCAAACTCTTGAAAGGAATACAACTAGTAGGCTGATTTGAAAATTAATTTTGAGTTTTTAGTAGTACTACTTTGACTGTTAGAAGTACTTTGACAGTTTTAAATCTGTTCTATTTGCACTAACTCGATTTAAATTACTCGAAGCATTCCATCTGCATCAATTTTATTAAAAAAATTTCTATTGCTGTAGCTACTCTAATTCTAATTATTCCAATTGCTTTAATTTCTGTTCCATCTGCATAAAATCTGTTCTGTTTGCACTGCTCTAATTTGAACTACTCTATCATGCTGCTAAACAATTTATTCACTACAACAGTAGGCTGATTTGAAAATAAATTTTTGGTTTTTAGGTGAACTACGTTCAATATGATGCGAAAGCGTTTGAGTTCATGGAATCATGGAAGTAGTTCGTCGCGAAAATTCGGTTTTTCTCTTAAATGGAACTGAGAGTATGCTCTCTTTACTCCGTTCACTCAAAACCCAATGAACCCTTGAAAGTTTACGTGGCGCCATCTATCAACAACCGTAAACCTCTACATCCAATGACATTAATTGACGTTTGGTTTAGTTTCAAAATTCAACGTACGGGGCGCTAGAATCGGACATTTTCTTTTTTGTTGATACTCTTTGTCAAACATGGTGAGTTTCTGTTAAAAATCTCTTTTTATCTCGGCCATCATTTAATAAAAAGTGATTTAAAGTTGATTATGTGAAATTAAAAAAGCCGCTATAAACGTGAGTATTAATATTTTCATTTTTTTTTTTTCCAGGGTATTGACATCAATCACAAATACGACCGTAAGGTCAGGCGTACTGCCCCAAAAAGTCAAGATGTATATTTACGCCTCCTCGTGAAGGTAAGAAATCGAAATATTTTAATAATAACATACTAAAGAACCTACATTGTAGCTCTACCGTTACTTGGCTCGTCGTACTGGAGCGAAATTCAACAAAATCATCCTGAAAAGATTGTTTATGAGCAGAATAAACAGGCCCCCAATTTCTCTGTCCAGATTGGTCAGACACATGAAAAAACCAGGCCGCGAAGGGCTCACGGCAGTCATTGTAGGCACAGTCACCGACGATTCCAGGATCTTTGAAGTCCCCAAATTGACCGTGTGCGCTTTGAGAGTCACCGAAAAAGCTCGCGCTAGGATTTTGAAAGCAGGTAAGAATTTTGTGCCCCAAAAATACAAGACTCTAAAACCATGTTGCAATATTTTTTTTGTTAAATTTGGCAACATTGCTGGAGGCTGACTGTTAAAAAACTCAAATTTACAATGATGAATCTTTTATCAGATTTTCTCTATAGAAAAAATGTTGCTTTTTAAAAGTGGACGTAATACTGAACTTTACAATTCAACCCCTATACAATTTGCACAAACAAAAACCCATTATTGACACAAATTTATATTTTAGGCGGTGAAGTAATCACTTTTGATCAGCTAGCTCTAAAAGCCCCGACTGGCTCGAAAACTGTCTTATTACAAGGACGTCGTAACGCTAGAGAAGCAGTGAAACACTTTGGATTAGCTCCAGGAGTGCCTCACAGTCACGCTAAGCCTCTGGTGCGTTCCAAGGGACGTAAATTCGAAAGGGCTCGTGGTCGCAGGCGTTCATGCGGTTACAAGAAGTAAACAAGGACTACTAGTGATAGTTTTATGAAATTTGTTCATAATTTAATAAAAACGCTTGTTGGTGACGAGAAGTTACAGTTTTATTTCAGCTTTTTTATCTTGTTTGCTTACACATGAATTACGAAAAATATAAAATCTTAAAGGTTTTTTGGCCCACTCTGTTTCAACTTTGTCAATACCTATTCTAGAAGTTTTGATAATGAGGTTGTTTGCTTTATCAAAGCTTGGATCGTGTTCCAACCACATCATACAATTTTCTGTATCTGCTAAATCCAATTTATTGCAATTAGTTTTTTTAATATCCATTGCAATGCACAGCTTTGAAGGACCATTACAAAGAAATTCTGGCTTATTGATTTGCTTCTTGTTTTTAACTAAAAATTTTTTAATCTTGTAAAAATTGAAATTTTCAGGTTTAAAATTTACTTTTCCTGAATTGTTCCATGGTTTCTAAGCCTTCCAGAGGTTCCAAAGCTCTTAGCAATATAGCAGCTCCAGGTTCCTTGCTCGAAATGTTGAAACAAAAATACATTCCATAGGTTTGGTAGACGTAAGAGGTTCCTGCTGGCATATACATTGGTTCGTTTCTTGGTGTATGTCTGGAAAAAAAATTCCAATAACTAAATCTCAAAGTTTAATTTAAACATGCTATGTATTTGAGACCATAATCTTCAATATACACCATGATTTACGTAGCCTGTGCGTTAGAAGTTGTCCAGTTTGCAGGTGGATTAGTAGAAATAACATCTAATGCACGGGCTACGTAAATTACCCTGTAAGTATACTATAAGAAATTTGAGAAAAACTGTTTTTTTGTTTAATATTTGTCCATTCCAGGCTCTTGATTTTTTTTTTTTTCCCAGGCACTTTATTCTTTCAATTAGAAAATTTGGGAAACGCCTATATTCAAGAGGATCCAATTTATATAAAAATTTGGGTTGGCAAAAACCTGGGTTCTTTTGGGTTTTAACGGTTCATAGTTTTTATGTTACTTAGCTAGAGATAATTATATAATGGTTTCAAGCCTTTTGTACCTGAGAAGCTTCAGTACCTATTGAATTTATCAAACATTGAAAATTGTCCAAAAATAACACCAAGACACTTTTTGTCTCACAGTTGCGATAATTTTCATCCGATTTCAATGTAATTAAGCTCTTATTAAAGCTAACTAAATTCTCTACAAACAAACCTGTTTATTATAATTTATAATTTGGTGTCAACAGTTTTGTACCTAAGTAGCTTCAATATTGAATTTATCGAACATTGGAAATTTTCCAAAAATGACACTAAGACAGTTTTTGCCTCATAGCTTCTTCAATTTTCATACGATTTCAATGTAATTAAGCTCTTATTGAAACCAATCAAATTCTCTACAAATCTGTCAGTTAAATAAGATTTCAATTTGGTTTCAACTTTTGTGCATCTGAGAAGCTTCAAAATTGAATTTAACAAATATTGAAAATTTTCCAAAAACAGTTTTTCCCTCATATAGCTCCTTCACTTTCTATCCAATTTCAACTCAACTAGGCTCTAGTTGAAGTTAATTAAATTCTCTACAAGCCTGTTAATTGAGATTTCAATTTCGTTTCAACAGTTTTGCACCTGAGAAGCTTCAAAGTTGAATTTATCAAACATTGAAAATCTTTCTGAGACAGTTTTTGCCTTACAGTCTGTTAATTTTCATCCGATTTCAATGTAATTAAGCTTTAATTAAAGCCAATTTAATTCTCTACAAACTCATTAATTGGGATTTTAATTTGGTTTCAACAGTTTTGTACCTGACAAGCTTCAATATTGAATCGAATTGAACTTTAATTGAATTCTTCACAAACCCATTAATTAAGATTCTAATTTGGTTCCAACAGTTAGGCACCTGAGGAGCTTTTATATTGGATTTATCGAAAACTGAAAATTGTCCAAAAATGACACTGAGACAATTTTTGCTTCACAGCTCCGTTGATTTTCAACCGATTTCAATGTATTTAATCTCTAATTAAACGTAATCAAAGCCTCAACAAACCTATCGATTAAGTCTTTAATTTGGTTTCAAAAAATTTGCACTTGAGAAGCTTCAAAATTGAATTTATCGAACATTGAAAATTTCTCCAAAAATTACACTGAAACAGTTCTCGCCTCATAGCTCTGTTAATTTTCATCCGAATTTCAATGTTATTTAGCTCTAATTAAAGCCAATTAAATTCTCTACAAACCTGTTAATTAAGATTTCAATTTGATTTTAACAGTTTTGCACCTGAGAAGCTTCCAAAATTGAATTTATTGAACATTAAAAATTGTTCATAAATGACACTGTGATAGTGTTTTGCGTCACAGCTCCGTTAATTTTCAAAAATTTCAAATATTATTGTTATATTTTATTGAAAAATAAGTGAGCAATTGGAAATTAATGGTTCTCATGTTGGTTGGAACAGAGCTTATGTAAAGCATCTGATCAACAATCGATCTAACTAATAAAAACAAAAACACTAAATAATTAAATACTTTAATCACATAAAAACATTGATAAAATATCATCATATAACATAAATATAACAATAATATTAATGCAATATAAACATCTCAAGTAAAAAAATATCCATTCACTTTTTCTGTTGTTCAGGTATGTAATACATGGAATCCAAAAAATATCTAGTTATATCCCCTACAATCGATCTGTCAGGTAACTTCTGAGCCGTACCATACAGCGCCATTTTTCCAGCTACAGGTACTGAAGGATCTTTTAAAATTTCAACCAAGGAATCTCTAACATCATCCAAAAACTTTTGAGCAATTCCTGGCTTAGTATGCAATAGAGTTACGCAAATATGGAAGGCCGATGGATATTGTAAAGTGTTTAAATGCCAGCCTAAAGTCAATAAAGCGTCTGAGAGACGGTAAATGTCGAAATCGTTGCTGCCTACTGCCACCACGCTGGTAGCTGGTTGGCCAAAAATGTAAATGCCTTTCATCCTTCTCAAGCCTTTTTCAATAAACTTGGTTGTATAAATTATTTCTTTTGTAGCGCTGACATAACCATCTATGCCGTGATACAATAACGCTGCCCAACATGTAGCTACATTACCACCCGCTCTACTTCCATTGACCGTAGGTGAACCATACACTCCACCAACCCAATCAGTAGTCACAGTGTATTGATAGTGTCGGTACTTAGGCTCTTTGTACATTATAACTGAGGTACCTTTAGGGGCGAAGCCATATTTGTGAGTGTCAGCTGAAATACTGGTAACACCTTGTAGCCTGAAATCAGTCACTGGAGGTGGGTAGCCAGCTTTTTCCATGAAACAAGTCAAAAGACCTCCTAGGCAAGAATCAACATGAACCGGAATGTTGTATTTTAGACCTAAATTTGATATTTCAGCAATGTCATCTATAGTACCATAGGGGAAATTAGGAGCTGAGCCTACTAGCATTATGGTGTTACGATTAATGGCTTTTTTCATTGCTTTGATGTCTACTTGGCAAGTGGCTGGATCTAAACGCACATGCCTCAGACGAATATTTAAGTACAAACCAGCCTTATCAAAACCTGAGTGAGCTGTTATTGGAAGAACCATTTCAGGCCTTCTAATACCTCTAGTTTCTTTAGCGTAGTCCCTATAAGCTTTACAAGCCATCATAATTGATTCAGTACCACCAGTGGTCATGGTACCACAAGCATTTTCATCTCCATAAAAAAGGTTAATAAGGATTCTAATTATTTCACTTTCCATTTTACAAACACCTAAGGAAAAAAAATGTTTAATATAAAAGTTTAATAATTATTTTAGGCCATTTATATACCTGGAAATAAATCTGGATGCAAAGGATTAGTATATGAAGATTCTTTATAAGCGTCTGCCATTAAGGCTTGTAAAGACTCGTTGTGTACATAAACAGCCCCTGAAGCCCACCCACCCTTCCATAAATCTTGATTCAAAGCCAAATTTGTATTGAGTATCTTCAAAATTTCTTGACTATTCATTCCTTTTGAAGGTAACTGTACCAAGTACTCTAAATGACTCGTTTTTTCAGCAACTTCTTTTCTAAAGCTCTCATTGATGTCTGCCAATTCCTTATCTACTTTACGTTTGATTTGAGGGAAACACTTGGCTATTTTGAATATGGTTTTTTTGCTTCTGGTTAGTAAGTCTTCGTCGCGGTCCAAAAAATCGTACAGCCACACAATCAGTAGCACAGAACTCGTTGTTATTGATACAATTTGCCATGGCTCTTTGCCAGTAAACACTACGTTAACAGAGTTTTTCAGAATATCTAAAGGTAGTCTCACTTTGTCCATTGTTAAGTTTGGGACTTACAATAGAGAACTAAATTAGACTAAGAAGTACTTAAAAAAGATAATTTTGATAAGATTACTAGACTATAAAATACCTGAGTAATTATTTTATAATTAAGTAAACAATAGATGTTGTTTTATTGTTTTAACAATGACCTTGAAGGTGGTAGACAACCAGTAATACTTAAAAGCGCCAATTTTGAATTATTTGGTAAGTAAACTAAACTTACTTTCCTCCATAAGAGTGGCTGGCTTTATCTTCGTTTCCCAAATAGCATTCGGTTTCAACGATTCTTCCCTTCAATACTGTACCGTTGTCCAGTTTCCTCACCAGGATTTTTCCGAGGAAATCGATGGCCATGGTCTTGCAGTCTTTTTCGAAGTCATTCTTGGAAAGTCTTTGTTGGTTGTTCATAGGATTGGAGATTATTGTTTATATAAAACGGAAATCTTGTTGAAATAATTAATTTGTTTAAAAACAGTTTTATATTTTTTCATATAATCAGCTGATCTATGGATGGGTGCATTTGAATGCAGTACAAAAGAATCTGCTCCTACTCCACCCAATTCCGTGTTGATATTCCAGAGCTACTCTACTGATTTCGAACTTGTACGCTTTATGACTCTTTTTTACACCGCCATTGGCATGTAATCTTCATGTAATATTCAAAGTTGAGTTGCATTAGGCGCTTCTGAGTTCTGTGCTTGGAGCTTTTTAAATTGTGGCGCGTGAATATTTGAGTGTAATTTCAATAAGCTGGGCCCGGATTCCGAACCCATGATTCGATAATCGATTAGATCTGTTCCAACACAGCAGGAAACCATACAATGTAACGTTACGATTCTGCGCATACCGTTAAATTTGTGCGTAGAAACCAAAATTCGTTCACTGAGTGGTTTCGAAACCGTTCATGGGACGGTTTTTGACGTGTTGGAACAGACATAGTGTATCGTCTATCTATTTTACATGGATCACGATACTATCGAATCGTGGGTTCGGAATCCGGAGCCTGATTTGAAAATTAATTTTGGGTTTTTAGTGATTCTACTTTGACTGTTCCAAATACACTGACTCTTTTTGATCTGTTCAACTGTTCGAACTTTCTTGACTGTTCTAGTTCTGTTCCATTGGCACTAACTTCATCTAAATTACTCTAAGCGCTACTAACAATGAATAGTTGTATTCCACTCGAACTAAACGCTCTGATGTTATGGCGATTTTCATTTGTCAATCAGTGCATACCGAGTGTATCCTCATCTTTTTCCAAAAACATGTAACATGTAAGGATATGGATACACTTTTTTTGCACTGGTTCGACAAATGGAAATCGCTATTAGTCGCCCCCGATTTGTAAGGAACAAATACGTGGTGCAACCACGAGGGCGAATTCTCATGAGCATAAGTTGACATTGCTGGCGTAATCACGTGATAAAATGGTTGGGTTTTATTGGTAAAATCTTTGCCATGTTGGATATTTTACCAATCAAATTACACCATATTATCACGTGATTACGCCAGAAATGTCAACTTACGCTCATGAGAATTCCCCCTGATATGCAACAAACACTTTTCGAAAGCAATAAGTGCGTGACGCCCCAGAGCTGTTCCGGAGCTCTTTCTAGGAGTAAAAGGATGTTAACGAAAAAGGGGGGTTCGTAGGTTGTTGGGGCCTTTTTCGGTTGTTTCAACGACGACAAAAATAAAACGCCAATGTTTGTAGCAATTTTCGACGTCCACCTTAACAAATTCAGTTTGTAGCCTCAGGGCTGCTTTTTAGGTCGCGAAGGCGATGGTTGGAGTCTTGAGTTCTGGGGCCAGTTTCAGGTTGGGTTGAGTTTTTTGAGCAGTGCCCTTGACCAACTCACTTTTCTTGCCGAGCTCTCAGGCTGGCGGCTGACAGTTGCCTCTGTCTCTCTTTTGTTCCGTGGCCGTGTTCGGAGCGTGTTCCGTGAACACGGAGTGTGTTCCGTTAACAAGGAATACAACTAATTTATTCACTATACAGGAGGCTGATTTGATAATTATATTTAGGTTTTTAGTAATTCTATTCTGACTTTTCCAAGTGCACTGACTTCGTTTTAACGCTCGGAGCTACTCGGAGCGTTGAGCTCCCGAGCTATACGAACGGATAAACGTCACAGGTCATGATACTGGAACTGTAAAGTCTGTTTTTTTTTTTAAAGATAATTCCCCAAGTCAAAAATTTAGTAACTTTGTTGGCAACACAAACCTTTTCTTCATTAAAAATTTGAAAGATTGACAATTTTACATTGTATTGCCAACATAATGTCATTTTGACTTTTTTCAAAAAAAAAAAACAGATTTTACAAATCTAGTGCGTGGCGCTCCCGGGGAGCTCTAGAGCGCGCCAAAGTGCATAATGGAAAGCAGCTTTGTTCAACCTTCAGTACTATTTTGACTGTTCTAATTCTGTTCCATTTGCACTAACTCAATTTAAATTACTCTAAGCATTCCATCTGCATTAATTCTATTTGAATTCCTTCTATTGTTTGAGACACTTTAATTATTGCTTCAATTTCTGTTTCTTCTGCACTATCTATGTTGTGTTTGCAGTGCTCTGATTGTTATTGTTCAAACTACTCCAATATGCTACAATCTCCTATCTATTTCATATGTTAATCTGAGAATTTATCCACTATAACAGTAGGCTGATTTGAAATTTTCAGTAATTCTACTATGACTGTTCCAAGTACACTGACTTCTTTTCGATCTGTTCAAATCTCCGTACTACTTTGACTGTTCTAAGCGCGAATCCACACGGGCGTAGTTAGCGCAATCGGCGTGAACGTCAATTCTACGCGAATTTTGGCTTAACATCCCGCATGTAGTGCATCAAAACCACAACAAAAACATTTTCTAACACAAATATCTTATTTATTTTTTGCCAGGTTGTAATGAAAATTTACTTATTTATTATTGTAGTCCTTTTCCTTTAATTTTCTGTGATTTTTCTATAATAGGTGAGTAGGTGATGAGTTCGGCTTGGCAACTCTTTTGACTCCTTTGACACTTTTCACTGCAAAATCGTTCGGGTCAGGCCACTGGGAGCAAATAGTGGAAGCTCTACATCGTTTTTGTACAGCCAAGTAGAGTGAAAATACTTAACTCCATATCCATAAGCTCCACCTCGCGAGATGAAGCTCGAGAAGCGAGCATGGGCACTTCCTATATTCCCAAAAGGCGGTAAAATTTAGGTTTTCAATAATTCACTATCCTAACGATCCTAACCTAAAGAATTCAAAAAAGATTTTTTTTTGCTTAGGGCTTGGTTGCCCCCTGGGGATCCTGGTAGAAAAAATGGCATCGCTCCTCAAAATATCCGCAGAAAAACATGTTCCGGTTCCGGTTTGTGATGGGGATAAGCATTCGTGGGCCGCGGCATTTCTTCATTGGCCGCGGCTCGCCTTGCTCCTAATGCGTTCGACTAACCATTTTACTCTTTTCGCTCTGTGTTCAGGTTACTATGAAACTGCTCTTTATCCGCTCCAACTCCGTTCTGCCAAGCTGAACTCACCCCATATATTACGTCACAACTTTGCCACGATTACGCCGAAAAGTTCAACAAAACCCAAGCGGCAGCGTAATGTCAAAAATTCAAGATGGCTGCATTGCCGCCAATGAAATCGTACAAATTAAATCCCATGATTAGTTACGCTCATGTTACGCTTACGTTAATTACGCCCATGTGTTCTCGCCCTCATTCTGCTTTTTTTTGCACTTACTCGATTTAAATTACTCTAAGCATTCCATCTGCATTAATTCCATTTAAATTCCATCTATTGTTCGAGTTACTCTAAGTGTTCAAATTGCTCAAACTTCTGCTTCATCTGCACCGACTCTGTTCTGTTTGTACTGCTTTGATTGTTACTGTTCGAATTACCCGAATATACTACCAAACAATGAATTTAATTACTATAACAGTAGGCTGATTTGAAAATTAGTTTAGGGTTTTTAGTAATTCTACTCTGACTGTTCCAAGTACACTGACTTCTTTTTGATCTGTTCAACTGTCCATATACAACTTTGACTATTTTAATTCTGTTCCATTGCACTAAGTCAATTTAAATTACTCTCAGAATTCTATTAAGCTGTTCATTTATACTTGCTCTATCTGCTTGAAAAATCAAAAAGATCTGGTAAGAGTTACTATTTATGAGCTTATATATAGAACAAGTTAACGCCGATCAGCTGCTGAGATCTGCTTGAAGCAAGAAAAGCAGTACAAATAAACACCCGTTTCTGTATTAAATTCTATTTGAATTATCTCTATTGTTCGAATTCGAGAGTGTTCGAATTGCTTCAATCTCTGTTTCATCTGCATTAACTCTGTTCTGTTTGCACTGTTCTGATTGTTACTATTCGAACTACTCTATTATGCTACTAAACAATAAATTTATTCACTCTCAGTATGTTGATTTGGAAATTAATTTTGGGTTTTTAGTTATTGTACTCTGACTGTGCCAAGTGCACTGACTCTTTTTGTTTTGTTCAACTGTCCGAACTACTTTGACTGTTCTTATTCTGTTCCATTTGCACTAATTTGTTTTAAATTACTCTATTAAGCAGTTTCCTCACTAGAATTTTTTTGAGGAAATCGATGGCCATGGTCTTACAGTCTTTTTCGAAGTCCTTTTTTAGAAAGTCTTTGGTGGTTGTTTGCTGTAAGACTGGACATTATGTTGATACCAATTAAAAATCTTGTTAAAACAACAATCTGTTTGGATTATAAAAATATAAATATTCTTGGTTTGGTATTTGAACAGGTTATGAGCATCTGCTCGATCTGCTCCGACTCCACTCCAAATTAGCGACGTTGTCAAACTACTCAAATTAACGGGGTTTTGCATACCTACTGCTTTTGTATCGATATATTTTATGTGAAATATCGATATGATATTACTGATTTATTTTAAATTTGTTCTCTCTATTTCTTACTTTTTTTTTAAACTCTATTAGTTTTTTCGTCTCAATTTTTGACTATTCCCAGCTCTTGACTTTGCTTGGAACAGGAAAAATTCAAGAGCCTAGAATAAATATTTGAACGAAAAAAAATTAAAATGGGAAAAAAAAACTACAAAAATAATAAATTTACTTTTTACTTAAAACATCCTCTACAATTTGATTAATTTTACCAAAAACATTTCTAACAGTTTCACTGTTATACACCACCTCAGTGTAATGCCTTGTATTATTTTGCAACATTACAATTTTGTTTGCAAAAGTTTCCCCATATTGCCTATAATCAGTAGGAAGTTTGTTTAAAAACGTATCAAAATAGTAGCTTATTTGAGGCACTGCACTGCTTGTTAGTGGTGAATTTAGGGCAAACATAAACCATACAATTATGAGCGACAAAATAAATAAATACATAAATGTTTTAATTAAGCTAAAGTTGCTTTGAAGTTGTGGCTTGTTACTTTTCTTTTGCTCTTTTTTATTTTTCTTCTTCATATTACCATTGATAATATTAGCCTGAGCAACTTCTTTATTATTGATTTTAATTTGCTTATTTTCCTTTTTCAATTTCTTTTTCTCTTCTTGCTTTTTTTGTTGATTCACTTCCAGTTGCTTCTGTCTAGCTTTCTTTCTCATTTCAACTTCGCTGTCTACTTCTTCTTGAAGCTGCCTGAAAAACTTGACCACGTCTCTGGCGCACTGTTGGCAACCTTTCGTGTCCACACAAGGCCCTGCTACTTTCGCGATAGTTGGGATTAAAGGGTTGTCTTTCAAATCCAAAAATTTCAAATTGTTTAATTGGCCAAAGCTTAGGGGCAATCTTTCTAAGCTATTTTTGTATAAGTCTAGATATTTGAGTTTGGAGAGTTTTCCAAAGTCCTCTGGGAGTTCGGTTAGTTCGTTTTTGCTCAAATCTAGCTTGGTTAAGAATGTTATTATGGTGAAGTTATTCTGGAAAATTCAAGCTTTGTTTTTTGAGTTTTTTTAATAATAATAATTTAACTTACCGGTAAGGAAGTTAGTCTGTTGTTTGATAGGTCTAAGCTGTGGGTTTTTTTCAGTGAAGCCTAGAAATTTTACAGGTAAATCAATATTGTTTTGACATTGTTGTGAAACTTACGATTTCTTTTACGGGAACTTCGTCCAAATCTGACATGCTCAAGTCGATTTCTCCATCGGAAAATCGTTCTTTTACATTTATTTTGCTCTGCTTCTGAGACATTTTGTTTTGAATAAATGAGGAATATTACAAATATTTAATAGGAATAACCAGCCACATCACTCATTTGATTTTGTTTTCAAATGCCCCACTTTTTTGATAACGTTGTCAATATGTGAAGGTTAACTTTGAAATCTGACAACGTTGCTGAAGGCTCTCGATTTCTCTTGAATTTTTTTTTTTTTCATTTCTCAATTTTCATCTATTCCAGGCTCTTAAATAATCGTTTTTTTCTAAATTTGTCTAAATAGAGAAAATACAAGAGCTTAGGAAAGACAACAGAAATAAAGTACTTTGTATTTATCTACCTCTGTGATGTAGGTACCGCTTTTTTCTCAATTTCTCTATTTCTCATTTTTTTTTCTTTGAATTTCTCGAAAAAAAAAATTAATCAAGAGCTTGGAATAGAAAAAAGTATTCTTCTCTATTTAATTCTTAGTTTTTCCGTTTCAATTTTTGTTTATTCCCGGCTCTCGAATTTTCGTTTTCTTCTAAATTTATCTAAGGCCTAATCAATTCATCTTCCAGATAAACTTGCTAGTAACAGTAACTATCAGGGACTTTATTCTCGAAACCGAGGAACAGCGTTGTCATAAGAACGATTGCTCTTGTTAATGGAAATATGAATACGGACGACGAAGACAGAACCTTCGTTCTCATGAAAACGCTGCTTTTTTGTTTCGAGAATAAAGTCCCTGCAAGATAAATTTTACCTTTCTATAGATCTGTTCGCACAGAAATCACAAACCAGTCAGAGCACAGAGTCAGAGCGAATTTCAATTTGGTGAAACTTGAAACGTTTTCTGACTGTTTTCAACCAATGATGAAATTCGCTCTAAGGGCCGGTTTTTCAATAGCGAATCACCTCCGGGCTCCGGGTTGGTTTCAACTCCAGGGTAAGCGTGTCCAGAGCCGCTTTTCAGTGACGAATTAGACCCGTAGCTTCACACTCTGATGCTCCAAACAACTGTTGTATCATTGGAACGAACGCACCCTACTTCCTACTTTAAGCGTCGTGCTTTTGATTACAGTGACTCTATTACCCACAGTGGCGACAATTGCTGTCTTATTTTTGATTGGTTCTAAAATCCCATATATTTATATTGAAAACGCGGCCATCTTGTTCCCACTTATTGCTCATTTCAAATATGAATATATGGGATTTGGGTGAACATCCATCATAAAACATGGAAAACAGCGTATTTGATGGATTTAATAATAGTCATCAAATACGTCGATTTCAATTTTTTATGATAGATGTCCATTTAAAATACCATATATTAATATTTAAAAGTAACAAGAGGTTGGGAACAAAATGGCGGCGGCTGTACTTTTGATACACCCATAAAATTGCAGGTGCTTGAGATGGCAGGGCTGGAACTCTGTAACGGATAGAGATCGTTAACCCTATCCTTATGGCACCATAGAATAAGTATGGTACTTGCTGTCTTCTTCTGTCTTGTCAAAATCAATAAAGAGGAGACGTCAATAGAGATAGAGAAAATATCTCTATTCGCTACAGAGTCCCAGCTCTGCTGGGACTCTAATGTACTGGAAAGCCTATAAACAAACAGTCCGGGGCGCTCTAGAGCAGCTCAGGAGTGCTTAAAGTGCGTCACTGGAAAGCGACTGATGAGAAAACTGGAAAATTGTTACAGTTTTGAAGAAAACGAATTTTCTGTCAGTTTTTTGTTCTAGTTCAACTAAAATCGATTCCAGATCGATTCTGAACTGGTTCTATCGATTCTAGAAATTAAACATGAATCACAAAGGACCCCGCACATTTCTTATGGAAAAGTGATCTATGTGGAATTTTGCTGAATTTTTGATATTGTGTATAGGGAGTCGTCCTTAACAAAAGTGATTATTGCGCTAATGTTCAATACCCAACAATTGTCAAAATATCAATTAAAAACTTTTTTAAAAATACTCTTCAGTATGACGTCACTCACAGCAACGAAAATTATTACTATCCTTTCCACTTTTGACTTTGACTTTATTCTTCTCCTTTTAACATTAAGAAAAAAAAAAGATAGCGATAGCGATTAGTGACAAATAGGTAGGTATGTAAACAACACCTAGCTCCTGCCGCAATCGTCAACTTCATGTCATGATGTCTGTCATATAGCGATTTCATTTGTACCTTTTGTTGTTTTAATTTTATTTCCTAAATGTTGAAAGGAGAAGAGTATAAGTATAGGTAGTCAAAGTCAAAAGTAAAAAGGATAGTTTTAATTTTCAGTGCTGTGAGCATACTGGTGACGTCATACTGAAGAGTATCAAATTGAAAAAGTTTTTAATTGATATCATTAACGCAATGATCACTTTTGTTAAGGACGACTCCCTATACACAATATCAAAAATTCAGCAAAATTCCACATAGATCACTTTTCCATAAGAAATGTGCGGGGTCCTTTCAAAATCGTTCTGAGTCAGTTCCAAACTGATTCTGAATGTGTTCCGTGAATAAAACTTCGTTCTCGATTAGATTTAGAACTGATTCAAATTTTATCGTTCGCAAATCATTAAAGCTGGGTTCGGCTTGCACACTCCGTACACTCCGAGTGACTCCGTTCGCACTCCAGCCGTTCGGGTATAGCCTTTTAATGAATCAGACAACGGCTGGAGTGCGAACGGAGTCCCTCGAAGTGCACAGAGTGTGCAAGCCGAACCCAGCTTAAATTTCGAATTTTATGTTACATTTTTTTGTTCTAGTTTCAACTAAATCGGTTCGGGATCGGATTCTGCACTTGTTCTACCGATTCTGGGGATATAACACAAACCACATATTTCGAAATCGTTCAGAGTCAGTTCCAAACTGGCAGGGCTTAGCCGGGATTTGAACCCGGGACCTCTCGCACCCAAAGTGAGAATCATGTACCCCTAGACCATTGACCCTCATATCTATTTGAAGATTTGTTTTCATATTTAATTTGCTAAACCAAACCAATTTAATGAAATTATAATTATTGTAAAAGAATAAAGAAATTAAATATGTTATAATTTAAGCCAAAATAATACATTTGTATTGTATCAGCAATAGCAAAAGTATAGTTGGGTACACTGAGAAAAGTCCCAGGAGAAAATTCTTTGCTGGTTTTTTTTAGCTGTTACAGTGGAAAATGTTTTAGAGGTAGCAATGTTATTTTGCTTCTACAGAAAAAAGACCACTTTGCTGAAACTACTTTATTGAAACTGATATTGAAAAGATATTTCTTATTCCAAAACCAAACTTTGCTGTTATAGCAAAATTAAAATTTTATGAAAATATTTCTGCTTCTCCGAAATAGAACTTTTCTAAGATAGATAGATACTTTACTGTTGCAGCAAAAAAAAAAATTCTGTAATTTTTGTTATTGTTACAGTAATGTTTTTTGCTACCCTAGCCAAATAACTTAACTAAAAATACCGTTCGGACATTTCCGTGATTTCTTCGGGTCCAAACCATAACCGATAAAATATGTTTCGTGTTCATTTTCTTCCATTTTAGTTTAGTAGCTAACGCCGTACGGTGTGGATCGTGGATGCTGTCGAGTCAAGTCGAGTGTCGGTCGCTGGGAATCTTTTTGGAAATGGTGCCAGCGCATCCATCAAAACTAGCAGAAACAACTCTAGCGCCAAACTTTTCATTAATTGACATTATTTCAGATCAGGTAATGAAAGTTTAGGGGTTTAAATAGAGTTTGTTTATCTCCTGGTTTTGTTATGATGTACGCGCTACTACATATTTCCTAAGATTTCCAGCAAAATATTTTTGCTATTGGTGAGACAAATAACTTCCCATGGCTAATAAAACACTTGGCTGATTCTGGCAAGAAATTTTTTGTTCTGAGACAAACGCTTTCCTATTTCAGGAAGCATTTATAATAACAACAACAAATATCTTTTCTGTCTTAGCAATCTACTTTTCAATGGCAAAAAAGGATGTTTTTGAGGGTATATAACCTCTTTTCTAGGACAGCATAGTTACTTTCCTACGACAGCAAAGTAGCTTTTCTATTTCTATGCCAGCAAAGTGACCTTGTAGAATCTGTGAGTAAATTCTTTATAAAGTCACTTCGCTACCGCAAATAAACGGTGCCAGTAAAGTTATCTTTTCGGCGGTAGTAAAGATCTTGGCTGTCCCCTATGTAGCCAAAATTTTTGGCTACGGCAGCAGAAAAATTAGCTATGACATTGAAAATTTTTTCTCAGTGTATGAGATGATATTCTCTGCTCTTGGAGTAAAGTAGAATAATAGAGTGATGACGCAGTTTTAATCTATTTAAAATTTTTAAAATAAAGCAGGAGACACAAAAACTAATTTCAAATTTCGAAATTCGCTTTCCCGCCATTATCATAATTTTAACTCTACCTAAAATGGAGCTTGTATAGTAGGTATACTCTTTTCACTCTGTTCACTCCTGAAACAATACTCGAACCAGTGGGACAGGACAGATTGGAAATCATCTTTAATAAATCACTAGTGATATAATGAGCTTATTAAGGACGCGTTAATGGCCGCCATGTTTAAATTTAATTTTTAAAAATGACGACTGCGTCACTCCTACACATAGGTTTCAATATTTTATTATTTGTCGGTGAAAAACTTATGGGCCTAGTGACAGAGAAAGACAAATATACAATTATGATGCTCCCAATATAGCTTTTTTGCCGTGGCGCCATCTACTTGAAATTGCTTGAACTGTTTTCACCTTCAAAATTCGTTTTAAGGTCATCTCAAAAAATCCCTAATAAGTTCCAAAATCCTTTGGCATAAACATTATTTGATATATTATCTACAATCTCTACAATTAGCTTTTTTTAGTTTTTCGTGGTTATCAATAAAATATGCTTTTCACGGATCCAAGTTTGATAAACATGCAAATATGCAACCACCAACACATTTAATGTTGTTTAATGTTGCGAACATTTTGAATTAAAAAAAAAGGCTGAATATCGAAAAACCAAAATAAGGAATTGTAGATAATCGATCAAATAATGTTTTTCTACAAACGTCACTAAAAGTGTCATTTTTAACGGATGCTGTCAGTGTCTAAAATGCCATTTTATGACACTGGTGCTAAAAGTGATTACTTTTAGCACTAGTGCTAAAAGTAATCACTTTTAGTGCGTTTCTAGAAAAAATAGTGTATGATATTCGTGCTAAA